ATTAATGCTTCTTGCTTAATTCTCTAAAAAGTAGATTTTTCGTTTGTTTAAACAGGTTTCTTCTTTTTTGACAGCTTTACACAGCTTTAATGCATTTTAAGTAGAACTGCGTTCATATTGGATAAATAAAAAATCAATCTTGAAGTGTAGTGTAAAAGGCTTAAGGAAAACACAATCACCTAAAACAGATAAAAATTAAGTTTTAAAATTATTTTTACTAAAACATAGCGCTAATTTGCACGACTGTGGAAATATTACAAAAACAATATTTTCCTTGTTCAAGTTTTATAAAAATACAAATTAGATTATGCACATGATGAGGTTTTATCTAATTAGATAAAGTGTATTTCTGAGCTGATTCATTGAGAGTTCTTACTTGAGTTGTTGTAAATTCTTATATGTAATCACAATTTAAGTTTTTAGAAGCTTTCAAAGCACTTGCCAAGGGCTGTGGGAAATGTTGTCATAGAAACTTTTTTAGAATTGTCTACATTTTATTTATGCCTTATTTAATACAACACAACTGGCAAAAAAGTATTTTTTATTAAGTAAGCAAATGCAACTTTAATAAGTCGACTTAAATAATTTAGATAATTACAAAAATGTTGGTAGGCAAAAAGAAAAAAGAAAATGACTAAGCCATGCCACAAAAATAACAAACAGAAAAGTGGAAATGTGACAGGCGGACGCTTCGTCACTTTGTCCAACAACCGATGATTTTTTACATTGCAACAATCGCAGTTGTTGTTTTTGTTGTTGTTGTGTGTGTCTTGTAATTTGCCGTTGTTGTTTGTGTTTGGTGCTGTAACTGCTTAACAATTTATGTGTGTTTGTGTTTTGGGGTGCTTTGTAAAAGTGTCGAAAAATTGTTAATTTAATTACAACACTTGCATCGGTTGAGTGCGACGATTACCAACAAAAAGCCACGGACACAGACGCCAAGCACACATTTTAGACAATTGTTGCCTTTGTTGCAGTTGTTGTTGTTGTTGTTGCTGCATGTTTGGTCTTTTGGCAATTGCCACATATGAAACATGTTGCAAGCAGCACACATGAATTTTGGTTTTTTTGTTTTGTTTTGTTTAATATTGTTAGAATTATAAAACTTAAATTACAACTAATGGCGTCTAATGGCTGACTCTGTCTCTGGGCCTCGCAGATGTTTAGTTTGCAGTCGCTGCTGACAGCCAAATGCAATTGTCTATTAAATGTATCCTACTTGCTGGCTTGGCCAACGCACAATGGCCCAGCCCCAGCTCCAGCCGCTGGCCCCGCCTCGCCCCGTTATCAACTCCAAAAGCGTGGCCTTAGCTCGTGTTGCGTCAGAGGCGGCCGGGCCGGGCCGAGCCCAACGCCAACATGAAAACTGCATTCAAATTGAATTTGAATTGAAAATGAAAATGAAAATTACATATTATTGGCGTAGTCCATGCGCTGCGCAATGACTCTTCAAAATGCTATAAGTCATGTACGCTGGCAGGCAATGCAATTAATAAGCGCTCCAAAATGCATTATAAGACACGGCTTAATTACACACAGACACATGTACAGAGTTAGATAGACAGTCATATGCTATATACACATTTATGTTATGCAAACGCCACACTAATTGAAAAGTGCTGCACTTCAAAAGAAACCAAACTGTTTTCTAGGCCCGCTCAAATATCATCGAACAAACAAGGTAAAAAGTAGAAATTTCTTGAGAGGCCGCACGAATCGCGGCTAAAAGTAATCACAGTAAACAATGAAGTGCGGAGGGGCGCGGGGAGGCTGGGGGAGAAACCACTAAACAAAAGCATAAAAGACAAAAAATAGAAATTTTTGTAGAAGCGCAGTGAAAATTTGTTTTGCCAGTTGGAGCGTAGCCAGCTTTAACCAGCTAGCATTACGTATACGACGCGTTGCACTTCGAGAAATAACTAAGCGAAACAGTAGTAAACAGAGCCTAAAATCGATCAAACTAACGTGCCAGGCACGTTTAAAGAAGCCCGTGGATGATGGGGTGTGGCACATTGCAAAGTCAAAACAACAAATCAATTGTCACAGTTAAATGTGTTAGCTAAGCGACATTGCCTTTGCATTCATTGAAACAGACCCCCATCGATTTTAGAGGCCGAAGTGTAATTTTAAGTTTAGATCTTGAATCATATTCTGTTTCGATTGAGTTTTAGTAAAAGCTTTTATGTTTTCCAAACTGCACATTATTCCTTACTCTAGGGAAGTTCTTAAAACATCCAGACTTTATTTTTCCCCTTTTTTTTTATATTATATATTTGTGTGTAGTTTCTTGTATATGATTGATATATAACTCTTTTTTAATTATTTGTTTTAATTATATACAGTTGTTGGATTCCGGTTTATTGTCTTTTGTTTATTGTTTATGATGAGTTGTATTATTAATGGCTTTTGTGTCTGGTACTACGGGCATGTACTGGTACAGGTACATATACAGCTATAGATATTGACGGGTATTTCTATAAATACTCGCTTAAACGACTCGCATGTCTTGTCAACATAAGAACGGTTGCTGCTGCTGCTGGTGAGTTGGCGAATAGAATTTTTCATGCGTTGGCTGGCGTTTCGATGTCTAATCTAACAGCTCAGCTGATTCATGTGGCAAGAGCCCAAGCCTCTTGTTTGGTGGGCAACTTGCAACTCAAGTGGTGGGCAGCTTAATTGAGCGCCAAGTGCTACGTGCTACAACTCTTTTCGTCTGTCATGGCCCACAGCGATAATGTTGTTGATGATGACGATGATGACGATCAACCCAATTGGGCTGCAGAGTTAATAAAAAAAAACCCAACTTGAAGATTCAGCAATGCGTGGCAGTCGCTACAACAGACGACAGTTTTCCGCCCACGCTGCTCCGATAGCTGATGATGATGACGACGCCTCTTATGGAGATGCCGCCACACTACATCTTCTTCTTCTGTTTATTGAGATGAGGCGCAGCTTGAACAACGCCTTGCTTGCTTGACAAGAAACCCCTTGTGTCTATAGCTGATACATATAAATATGTATATGTATTTCTAATACTTAGAAGATAATTAGCCAACTGTCTGCTTGGTCAACTTGTGGGCCAAAGGCCAAACTTGGCTGGCTAATTGAGCAATGGGTAGACAACAAAAAATTAAAAGAAAAAAAAAAAGAAACTTTGAAATCATGTAGAGTCTCTTTTCGCTTGGCTTGACAGTCATCTCGACATTGAGCGCTTATGAGTGACAGGCGACGTTTCAATTGTTCGGCTTCAATTTCGTGGTTGACAATGGATTTTGCTATATAATTACACGATCTTCAACTGTAGCTGTGGATGTAGCTTCCCATGGCTTCGCATTCGCCACGCTCCACAGGCAAAGCGGCCACATCTGACAGGGCTAAAAACCAAAAAGAAAAACAACAAAAAAAAAAAAACATTATACAAAGATAGAAAAAAGTATTAAAGTGCATTGTGCTTATGCAATGGCATATAAAAAAAAAAACACAAATTATGTGCTTTACTTCCTGGCCCGACTAATTAGCTGTTAAATAATGGCCCAAAATGCACCGACCCAAGTGAATGTGGGCCAATTGTCATGCTTCATTTGCAATCTCATATTTTGCCCATTAAATTGACCAACTTTTCGTAGCAATCAAGCAACAGTCAATCGCTCAGTCAATCAACTGGCATGCAATCAGCTTGAGTTGTATATACATTATTTTTTATGATTATTATTGCCGAGAACAGCGGGTCGAACATTAGTTCTTTGATGCCTATAGCCACATGTATGTGTATACTTTTAGCACTTACCATTTGTTTGATCGATAGCGGAGCGAAGGAATTTATGTTTATCGCATGTGAAAGTTATCGAGAAATATTCTCGTCTAGTGAAAGCGTGCGGCGGTTGTGACATTTTGCTGCACTCTGCTGCAACAGCTGCTGCGGCTGCTGCACAAAGACTTTTACTTGGGCTAAGACGTGCTGTTCTAGTTGCAGCGACTCATGAAAGATTCGTCGACTCGAGACAAACAAACAACATGATTGTCACAAATTGCCAACAGCATGCTGCAATTGTTGCTGCTGTTGCACTTTTGCTACAGTTTTCTCCTTGGGTCAGCGGCCCGCGCTGCGCTTTAATTCATCAATCATAATTTGTATGTCATTCACTAATCGCTTTACGCTGCTCCTGAACTCCAGCGATTGCCACACGATGATGAATTGAATGTACTGCCTTTTTATTTTTTTTGCTTTAATAGTCTTTTTTCCTATTGTGTAATTAGCTGGCTAAGCTTAAAGCTCACTAATAATGCTACAGGCTTAGGTTTTCCCTCATAGCCAAGGCCTGCTAGATCTTAAGCCGTGCAGAGAGATTTGAAAACAAGTTGGTCTGCTTTATCCCAGAAATCTTTGCCACGAAATAAATATGCTTAAAATGCTTTTAATACAGATTTGTTTCCTGAGTGAATGCTGTTTATATTTTAAGATTCAAATGCATGCTAGTTTAGTTAAAACAAATTGAATTGTGGCTGTGCGTGGGGTAGGATTTGAGATTCAAATGAATTTTATTGTGTGTAAGGCTTACATGCCAAATATGCTTGCAGTAGTTATGTTAATATTTATATAGAAATAGTTTTCACTTTCTTCTTCCTAAAATATTTGTCATTGTTATTTGAGTAACTCATATTATTACTCAGTGGTTCATAATATTTTATATCGTCAATTATTAGCAGCGTTGATCAAGAACTAATGAATTTGTGGAATTTTATTTTTACTTTAATCAATTTTCATTTGTAATGGAATTAAATGAATCCACACCCAAATTTGCTAGCTCTAGCTTATATAATCTGTCTGATCGATGAATACAGGGACAGGGCAGTATTGTTATACAGTAGGGCACACAAACTGTAGCTGTTAGCCACAACCATTGAAATATGTGTCAAAATGCCAAACAGTCAAGTAATACATATTGTGATATAAAAAAATATCGATTTAAATACAATTCCTTGTGCTTGTTTGCTTACAGAATGACGGCTTTGAACTACCCGCAACGCATGGCATCTGCAAAACAGACGGCAGCTGCATTAGCCAACACAGAAACAGCAACAGCAACAGCGGCAACAACTGCAGCAGCAGTGGTGGCCACGCACGCGTCACAGAATTGGCCAGCGGCGCCATGGAGTGCTTGCCATTGAGCGGCGTCGGTGGCGGCGGCGTTGTCACACATCATCCGCATCTGATGGCAGCGAGCGCTGCTGGAGGCACTGTTGTTGCTTCGCCAACGGCAACGGTGGTTGTGGGTGCCACATATCCGCACCATTTGCACCACCATCATCATTTGAGCCACCATGCGCCGTACAGCAATAGCTATGGCAGTCATCCGCATCATCCCATACACAGCGAGCAGACCAAGTCGCTGCAGGAGCTGCAGCATGAGGTGGGCGCTTTGTTGGAATTCCGAGATCTGGTCATCGAAACGTTTCCCGATCTCAAGCATAAAATGGCCTCCATGTCCGCCACACCATCTACGCCCAGCTCTGTGGGCGCGCTAGGCGGCAGTCACTCGGTGGGCGGCGGGAGCGGTGGTGGAGGCAGCTCCTCGTTAGCATCCAGGTGCGTAGGCGACATAATTTCAAACCAGTCAGAAATCTTTAATTCTTTTGTCCTATTGCAGACGTGAATGGGAGCCCGGAATACGCATGAAGCGCAAACTGTCGCACAAGGAACCGTCCACAACAACGGCCGCTGCAGCCGCATCCGCTGGAGCTGAGCCGTCGTCCTCGTCGCTAACGCGTAGCCGCAGTAACTCGCACAGCGGCAAGAAAGAGCCAAAGAGCGGAGAGAACAACAACGGAAGCGTTGTACAGGACTCCGGCTTCTCAACGGAGACTAGTTCCTCCAAGGAGGGCCACAGTGCTTCCTCCACCAACGGTGCTATGACGGTAAGTGGCAGAATAATTGGAAATCTAAAAGACGGCAACGCTCACTTAAATATTTGTTTCTCTTGACAGGTGGCCATAGCATCGAACCGTCTGAGCTGCGCCGAGTCGGATGATGAGCTGCTCAACCTGCTGGATGTCATACACCGAAAATCGAATCGCTTACGCGAGGAGGTCGAACAGCTGCAAAGCTATGAGCGCCAACAGGGGGATGCGGCGAAGGGCCACAAAAATGCTATTGGCATGACACCGCAGCAGTTCCGAGAGCAGGTGGAGCGAATCAATCGCGAGGATATCAAACAGTTGCGCAAGGAGCGCGATCGTCTGCTGGACAAGCTGGCCGAAATGGAGGCGGAAACTTTAACGGGCCGCATTAAGGCGGCCAAGATGAACGATCAGGTCGAAGAGTTGATCAGCGTCAAAAAGGATCTCGAAGAGCAGCTAAAACTGGCCATGGCTCAAAAGCTGGAGCTGAGCTCGCGAGTGCAGCAGCTACAGTTGCAGCAGCAGCAGCAGCAACAACAACAGCAGCAGCAGAGCAAAAGCTCATCCAGGTAAGCAGCTAAATGAGTTAATGACTCACTGAGCTCTCATCCCCAATTTAATTTAATTGCAGCGCCAGCCAGTCAGAGCTCTCCAGTCAACGCAACTTTTTATCCTCTGCGACGACGGTGCTCTCCAACAGCAGTCGCCCCAGTCTCAGCAGCAACAACACATTCCAGCCGGTTGTGCTCGATCAGCAGCAACAGCAACAGCCAGCGCCGGAGGCATTCCATCAAAGCTCAGGCAGTGATACAGCAATAGCGGCAGCGAGAAGGCAACAACAGCAGCTGGGACGTTTGGATGGTGTTGTGAGCACGCCTGGCGCCCGGAATACCAAATGCCGGATTACAGACTCCAAGCGCTTCTCGGCCATTTTGCTGGAGACGAATGTGCTAGAGCTGCAGCGGCACCTGCTCACGCTGACTGTGCAAAATCAGGTGCTGGCCCAGAAGCTGGACTCGTCCAGCAAGTCAAAGTCGCTGCTGACCAAGCGGCTGGACAAGAGCGTAGAGGATACGGAGGAGCTGCGCTTTCAGTTGGAGGAGAAAAACATCGAACTGGAGGGCACAAAGGCGCAGTTGCGCGTCCTGGAATCCCGGCTGCATGGCAGCAGCACTACCAATTCGTATCTGAACTCCTCCTCGCAGCATGACTACGAGACGAATCGCTCGTCGGCTTCCACCACGCTGATGCTCAGTCGTCGTGGCGTTCCCGACTCGGTGGATTCGGCATCAACATCGGTATCGGCGGCCATGCCACGTTCCGATCAGATAAGCACGCCCAGCATGAAGGCCATGGTGCCGCTGGCCATGGAGGAGCTGCAGCAGCACAGCAGCAGCACCGAATCCGCGCACGAGCACGAACCGGAACGCACGCCCAATGATTCCACGCAGAGCAAGACAATGGTCAACATCAGTCCCAGTCCGCTGGGCAGCAGCACGCCCACCGCGGCCGCCGGCAGCAGCAGCATTGCGGCACGCGTCATGAGCTCCAGCGTGGGCGGCGTCAGTCCCTTTGAGCAGACGCCGTTGCGCAGCCACGCTTTTCGCAAGTTTAACAGCGCCAGCAAGCCGAGCAAGATACCGCTGCCGGGCAGCAAAGCGGCCGCCTACTTTGCGGGCAAGCCGCCAACGGGTCGACCCTCGACGGCGGGTCGTTCGCCGCCATCGGTGCATAACTCCAGCAGCGTCTCTTATGGCAGCAGCAGCAAATCCTCGCTAAGCCGCAGCACCGGCAATCTCAGCCAGAGCTTAAAGCGTGGCGATTCAGCATCCAATCATTCGCTGAGCACAAACACCAGTCGCAGTTCGACATCGTCCTCCATACCGCTGGCCACCACACCATACTCATCCAGCTCGGCTGGTGGCAATCGTAGCAGCCACACGGCCACAACGACTCCGTCCCCGCGCGTGCTCCAAAATTCGCCATTGCCCAAGCTGAAGCGCGAGACGCTCAGCTCACGTGTGCGTCACCTCGACTCACTTTCGCGCGCCCAACACTCGCCCGAGCAGCAGCAGCTCAACAACAGCAACAACAGCAGCAACGGCAGCGGGGGCGCCTCGCACAAAAGCGCCCAGCTGAGCACCAGCGGCAGCTCAAGCTCCATTGCGGCACAGTTGAGCACAACGCTGCGCAAGGATCTGCAGCTGAATGCCACAACGGGGCCATCCTATCAGCGACGCGCTGCTGCCATTGGCAGCGGTGGTCCAACGGTGGTGCGTCGCTTTAGCAGCGCCTCGGCGGGCAGTGCGAGGCTGGCGCGTGAGCGTGAGCGCGAGCAGAGCAATGATCCAATGGCCACGCCCACGTCCAGTTATGGCGACAGTGATAGTGGCAAGGTACGCACTTTAAAGTCAACATTTTTGGGTTGGTTCAAATGAATAATATACTTAGTTACGATATTGATACTGATACTGATAATAATGATACATATACGTCTATATATACTTATCGATAACTGATTACTGTTTTAATACGCCTTCGACTACGAACAACACAACAACAACAACAATAGAAACAACAACGAAAACACGAAACACATTTCAATGCCAGTTACAGTTACCAATATATCCAACTCGCCGCATACCTTATATATACATAATAGAAATCATACGTTGTACACATACATTATGTCGACGCCCTGAAATAAACCCCAATTTGTACAGAATATACCTATTTGCATAGAAGGTCCCATATGCTTTTGTAATTTCATTTCATTTAGAACGAAATGTTTACTAATCTTTGAATTTGTGTTTTAAAACACAACTGAAATGCTTAGGAACTAGTTCTTTTTGGAAACTTAAATAATTTGTTGTGCACATTACATAAGTGAAATGTTCAGGAACTAAATACTTTATAGATGTTTAATAGTCAAAACAGTCAGAAGAATTTTAAGAAATATTTCAAAAATATATTTAAAAAGTTCTATGTTTAGAAACTGGTAAATTAATTAAAAATTGAATACTAGAACAAAATAAGTTTGAAAATCAGCAAATTGAATAATTTAGTCAGACTTTCAACAAATCTATTGATAAAGTTCAATTCACTTCTTGTATATTTAGAGCAACGTTTAAAATAATTGTAAGAGAAACTAGTTCATTTCGTTGTCTCTGTGTTAATTCATGTATTCGCGTGCAATTCTTGTCATGATAATTGAAATTCCAGCAATATCGATCTGCTATTTTAACCAGGTATAATTTTTGTCATGAGAAACCTCATTTAATATGGAATATGTGTATTCGGATCAAGAGACGCTACGCATAAACGTGGTTACTGTTGTCTCGTTTTGGGGCTTATTTCATGGCGCGCATAATTACATGCATATTTATTTATAAATAATACATACACATGCCTATGCATACAACTAACCTACGATGCATACAAAACATACATTATATATATAAATAATATACTATATAGAACTATGTGTATATCTAACTAACGATCGTTAGGCCAATAGATTGTGTACTCTTGTCGTGCCTATGCAAACAACAAAAAAGTTAATAAGAAATGACAGAAAACCCTTCTCGTCGCACTTCGACTTGCCCGCAGCGTGCCTGACCTTACCCAACTAATGCCCCTCCCCCCTCACTGTTAGCCCCCACCCTCGTCCAGCAGCCGCCTGCCATCGAAGGGCTTATCAAGCAAAGGCAGCGTCTTATCAGTTGTATTACATTTTTTTTTGTTTTTTTTGTTTATTTGGTCATTGACCAGAGTGAAAGGTGCCACCTCCACTGCCTTGCCTTGGAGCGGAGCAGCTATGCAAATTAGTCGCCGCAGCTGCCGCTATATTTAATTAACAGCAATTGCACGCGCCACAACAACATATGTATTCACTTCTTTCTACATATATATAAACATATATTATTATTTTTTGTACATACTCGTAAAACAATGCCTATATAAGTATAAAACGCATAAGTGCAACAACATTTACCATATAAATCATACTCGTACTCGTATCACATTATGCGAAAATCATGTAAATTGTTTATCATTATATATATTATATGAATATTTAAATATCGTTATTATAAGTTGTACTTCTCCTATCCATCAGGCAGTTACTCATTCGTGTGTGTATGTGTGCTAAGCATTAATTGTAACTATTATTATTTTGCGTGTATGTGTTTAAAACTGATAACTGTTATCTATACTATAAGTTGATGTATCTACGTACCACTTACTTACAATTTGGCCTAATTTAAATGCTAATTAATCATTTATTATGATCATGGTCTAATACATATATAACACATATGCATACATACGCAACACACACATACATTTACACATATATATTTAGAAATATAAACAAAAACAACAACATTAATAAATTGGAACTTTAATTTTGCTAAGCCGCTGTTGCTGCCATGCGCGAAATTTTGATTTTGGCCACGCCTACAGCTTGCCTTTAAATTCTTGCCCAACATATATTTTCATATATCATCATCATCATCATCATCAGCATAATCATCATTGTTGCCATGTTTCATTCTCAGCTTGGTCAGCGTTCAAAACTAACCTCAAAGTACTCAAAACTTGTTTTACACTCACATACAGAAATCACGGTCAAAACTCATACTTTGCTAGAAAAACAAAACAAAGTTGTATACACTAAATATTTGTATCTAATGCTGTAATTTCTTTTTACTTTTACTTTTTTTCTTTCTGCGCGTTTTCTCGCTCTATGTATGTCTACTCCACATGTAAAAAACCAAACGTAAACCCAACAAACAAATGTGTTGTTTACCCGTCTGTTGTTAAAAATTAATACGTTTTCCCATTTTGTATATTCAAAACTGCCCGTACCACAAAAATCCTCAATAAAAATATAAATTATATATATATACCTATATATATCATGCCCACCCAACAACCAACCAAACCAAACCAATCCAACAAACAGCCTTTTGAAAACTGTAACTAAAACAAATTGTGAAACAAAAAAACAAAACTCTTTCTAACTGCAACATACCTAACCGGATACGTTGGATAATCATGTAAATTTATGAGATATATATACATATGGACTATGGTGGTGTATTGATTGATTGATTGATTGACGTTGGTGGTGAAAATTTAAGCTGCATGCTGCAAATGAAAATGCTAACATAAAAGCAACATTCCAAACGCGTGCATCACTCGGGAGATTATTTTGGTAACGGACAGCGAACAGACGATGCCAATGTCAGGATTCACGTGCTCAGCTCCAAGCCTCAAGCTCAGCTCGGCTCAGCTACAGCCTCAAACACAAGCGTGGAGAGCTAACTGAGCTAGTTCTGTTGTAAATCGTTTGTCTGTTTTTCTTATAGACAAAGAACTAAGACACTTTGCCGCAAATTTGTTATACGCGTAAGTCTCTCTTTTGTTGTAATTTCATATTTGTAGGTTAAGCTACCACCCTTCGCAAAAAAAAAAAACAAAACAATATACAGCCCTGCACAACTCTGCTTTATTTGCTTATACAACACTGAAACTGAACCAACGAACAGCATTTTGGTTGTACTCTTGTATTTGTAGCTTCTCCAGTAGCTTAGCCAATTTCTACACACACCCAACCATTCAGCCCCCCAGACAAACACACACACACCTACCTACACTCTCTCTCGCTCTCTCTCTCTAATTTCCAATGCAGGCAACCAACAAATTTACCAACTGGTCATAAGTAAGCACATTTTCGAAATGATTAGCATTTTCTTTGGAGAACATTAACGATTTTCCAGATAATTTATTGTACATATTGGACGCTCTGTGCTAATTAAAATACCTGAATGGTCAATGGTTATGGTCCCTAACTCTATCGCTAAATGCTCATCAAAGATTTTGTGTTTGTCTAACATTATAAACATTTTGAAATTCTACCTTATGCCTTGTGTTTGTTTTTGTGTTTTCTGTTCTGCCTTAAAATCGCTGACAACTAAAGTTTTGATATTCTATTTTCTTTTGCTCTTCCATTTAAAACTCTGATGCACAGAATTTGGCAAATTTCATTCGTAAGCCAAATTTCCGTTTCAATAACAACAATTGGCAATTATGGCAAACGAGCAACAACAACAACAATAAGAACAACAACAGGCACAATGTCATTTTTATGGAACCCCTAACATACATCAAAGAGCTGCCAAGCGATGAAGCCGATGTGTCCGAGGAGACGGCTTACGATTCGTATTACACGCAATACACAACGCCCGATTCGATGGACTGTGGCAGCGACAATCTGCTGGTGACCTTCGACTATGGTTACAGCGATTCCATTGGGGCGCCACCAATGCCAGCGCCAGCTTTTGCCGAGGATGACCACGGTGCGGATGGCGAGTGCGCCATTTGGTTTGGCACGCCCCCAAATGATGCCAAGGCATTCACGGTGCATCATGTGCAGCATAAGCCGCAGCTGCTCGAAGAGAGTCTGCAATCCTTAATATCCTACGATGTAGATAACTCGGAATCAGAATCAGAGCAAGAACAAGCACAAGATCCAAACGCAGACAAGGAAGAGTTTTTCTATGATAGCATTGAATGCTGCACTTAAATTTTCATGCTGCGGCATTATTATATAGGTCTATATATATCCATTTGGACGGATATTTTTTATTTGATTTCATTATTTAGCTAGTCTACGCAACTGTTAGGCACGCGCATTGAAAGTATATAGTTGTATGTATTTTAGGTAATGTATGTTTGCATGTACTATATCTAAAGACATGATGTAAGCAATACGGAATGATGTATGCACATGTTGTGCACGTAAATATGTATGAACTGTACTAGGTCAGACCCATATGTAAATTGTTTGATTTTCTCCTATTTATAGCTATAACTACATTTAGAGATCTACTAAAGTATACCCAACTACTATATATACGTTTGAGCATAATTTATATCTAGTTGATTGTGTGCATCGATTGTAAAATTCGTCGTAAGTTTAATATTATCATGCACTATGCTTACTTATTTGTACTCTCAAACTAACTTTATGAAATTCGTATTAGACAGCAGCTATACAATTTAGTTGTTAATTTGTGAAATTTAGTTAACACCCAGATTGCATGTAATGTATGTACAGGACTTTTTATATGAACTAAGCCAGCGTATGATTGAATTGAATTAATTGTCTACACATAGAACTTATCGTATATTGTTATCAAGATGCGTTTACCACATTTATAAAAACCCATTTGAAAACAAAAGCAAAGTTGATCATAAGAAAGTGATTCAACGTTAAAAAAAATACATATACTATTACTTATTCAAAGGCGAGAAATTTGAGCATATATCCATTTAAATAGCAATTGTAATTGAAGACAACATACTTATTAAAAACAAAACAACAACAACAAAAAAAGAAAAGACAAAAATAAAATCTATAAAAAAATTTAATTTAACTGTGTTTTTTTTATTTATTTTTATTTGCAACTCATAAATCAGAGCAATCAATAAAGTGGCAATGATTTAAATTAATTGAACATTTTCTGGCATTTCTAGCAGCAAGCTGTGCTGACCATGAAATACCCTTTCAATTGCCTCACTGCTATATGGTAACCAAATCCGAATCTGTTTGAAGACAACACCTTGAAGAATTAACATGAAATTCGCTATATTCGTTATAGGCTAAACGGATCCTTGTCGGTCTGATACAGATTCAACAAGGTATCTAAAAGGCAACTTTTTTCTATAGTAAACATTTGTATCCAGTTTTATTAGGAACATACTGTATGTACCAAGTTTTCTCCAGAATGTGTTAGTAAGAAAATAACATCTGTGCCAAGTTTTTAAAAGCTGTTTGCAGTTTCAGATTTAGTAGCCTAAAAAACGGGAGCATGATTGACAGACTTTAGCCAGATCTTGAAAGCTGAGGTAGCGATATAATTCGTCAAAATTGCAAAAGACTCTCTTAGAGGGCATATTCCTACAATTGCTAAAAATCTCGTGCGCATTCTTTTCAATCGACCAGTATCAATATTTGATTTCTAACTAAAATTCAGATATGGATTGAATATATACCATATATGTTCGCATAATTCAAATGCCAGACAGACAGAGAGAGCGAGAGAGAGGGAAAGAAAGAAGGAGAGAGAGAGACTGTATTACATTCAGTCTCAATTAGCCTGCGCACTGCTCCGACTTCATATATGTAGTTCTCTCCGCGTGGCAGCTACAACCAGTTCGCTTAGCACACTCCACGGCAATACATTACGACCGGAACGGGTTTGCTTTGTAATTCAATTGAGTTCGCAATGTGCGCAATGCAATAAAACGGTTCGGCGATTAGCTTTGAGTGCCGGTTCAACTTTACCTGCCGAAAAGCTTTCACACACCAAACACCAAACACAAATAAATGCCAGCGACACAGATATGCGCTTATCAGAAGTCCACCAAAGCAGCTAGAGAGAGATCATGGAGCGCAACATGGATTTTGATGAGATTCTGGCCAAATGCGGCAACAGCCATCGCTATCAATATCTGCTGCTGGGGCTTTACGGCTTTCTCATGGTAGTCGTCTCCATGCACTACTTCTCCCAGAACGTGATCAGTTTTGTGCCCGATCACTGGTGCCACCACGAACAGCTGGAGAATCACAGCTACGCAGAGATCGAGGCCATCTATAATCAGTTTGAGAAACCCTCGTGTACGCGCCTGGCGACAATCGGTTCAGATCTCGATGGGCGGAACGCGACGATCAGTGGAGAGCGCTGTGATCGCTGGATTTACAACTATGATTTTGGATTCAGGAGCATGAACACCGAGGTTCGTCTAGCCCGAGTATTCACTGTATTGATATGTTTTAAGTGTGCCCGCAGAAAAAAAAATATTGTGCCAAGATTCTATCAAGTATTTTTTTTAGCTTAATTGGGTCTGCGATGCGGCGTACAAGGCACGTGTGGGCCAATCCTTTTTCTTTGTGGGCTCCATGTGTGGCACGCTCATCTTTGGGCTGCTGGGTGATCGAATTGGACGCGTAAAGGCCGTCATTTTGGCCAATTGGTGTGGCTTCTTGGGCGATTTCTCAACCATCTTCACGGCCAGTCTGACAGCCTTCTCAATAACACGTTTCATTTCTGGCCTGGCCGCCGACGCCAACTCGTATCTGATGTACATACTGGGTAAGTGTGTACTTATATTACCTATTGCCAATTCCAATTCCAATTGCCAGCTGAATAAACCTATTTTGAACAGTTATCGAATATGTCTCGCCCTCACTGCGCAATGTGGGTCTGAACACGGTCTTGGGCCTGTTTTACTCGTTGGGCCTGATTGGCGCCTCTTGGCTGGCTGTGCTGGTGGGCAATTGGCGTCTATTTCTGGCCTGCTCCTCACTGCCGCTGCTGCTGGTCACACTGTTCTACTTTCTGGTGCAGGAGAGCGCCCAGTGGCTGGTCACACGCAACGACATCGATGGCGCGGTGCTGCGTTTGCGTCGTGTGGCCAAAATCAATCGGCGCGTGGTCAGCGATGAGGACTTCAAAGCGTTTAGCGGCTACTGCCAGCAGCACTACCGCAAGGCGACTGCGGGCGCAGCGGGGCAGCAGCAGGCCAAGTTGCTTGACATGCTGAAGACGCCACGCATGCGCAGCAGCGCATTCAAAATGCTGCTCATTTTGTAAGTCGGGAAGAGAGATTCGTGACATAATCCAATCATAACCGATCTTTGTACCGCCCGCAGCGTCATCGTGGTGCCCTGCTATAATACCATTGCACGCAATGTAGAGGGACTGGGCATATCACCGTTCATCATGTTCTCACTAAATGCGCTGATGCTGCCGCCCTCGGGCTATCTGCAGGGACTGCTGCAGGATGTGGCTGGACGCAAGGCCACCGCGGTCAGCTGGATGGCCATCACGGGCCTGTTTGCCACGGCAGCGGGCCTGGTCATATCGCAGGGCCAGAATCGTAATGTGTTTCTCTTGGTGGGTCTGACGCTGGTCGCACGTTTTGGCGTCTCGATTGCCGACGGTGCCAGCTCCCAGCTCTGCACTGAGCTCGTGCCGACCTGCGTGCGTGGGCGTGGTGTGGCCGTGGCACACGTAGCCGGCTTTGCGGCCTCCTTTCTATCGCCGTACATACTGCATTTGGGCACGTACGCGAAGCCCGCACCCTCCATTATAATCGGTCTGCTCTTCTTATCTGGGGCGTATGTGTGCCTGCTGCTGCCTGAGACGCGGCACAAGAAGCTGCCCATGTCTCTGGCTGAGGGGGAAGAGTTCGGCAAGGGCGAGCGAATGTTTGATTTTCTGCGTCAACTACGAAAGCAGGACTCTGCCGAAGTGGAACTCGAAACAGAATTAAAATCCAAGGAGGTCGATAAATAATATAAATGTTTGCTTAGTATTTAAGTTCTTATAAGATGGACTTTTATTGTCTAAAAATAGCTACAAAAACTCCAATGCAATTTTTTTGAGAACAGTTAAATGAAAACATCAATCCATGAATAAGACATTAAATGTTCTAAATAAATATATGAGTGCTATCCCGAGCTCAGTAATTTTTAGATTAAAACACATAAGTTTTATTCTCTAATTGTCTTCAGGGCAAACAATTTTAACACCCTTTAATGTGCAGCCCATTGCAAGGACGAATGTTCATGGGAGTCTAGGTAAGAAAAATATATATAAGCGTAAGAAGTTCAATATTATATAAAAATTATTTTTATTTGAGAAAATAATATATAAATATTAACGTTTATTACCCGGCATTATTCGTGGCAACCATTGTGCCTAAAATTTGGGATGTCTTTTTCACCCGATCGGTGTTAACTAAAATGTGGCCCTTAAGATGAATCTGAAGTAAGGTCTTTGAAAATAAGTTTGAAGCCAATCGGACAAGACTTAAAACTTCGCTCAAAAATCCTTAAAAAAAAGCTTCCTAGCTTTTATGGTTTGGGCTATTTCAGTCAGTCAGCACAAATAGTTTTATATCTGAAGATGTACTTACGAAAAGAACACATACATACGCAAGATTATTTTCAGACTTGCGAGAGTGAGAAAAAGTGCAGAGTGCAATAAATTGAAGCGAAAAAACTTGGTAACGTAAAACTTTTAATTAAAGCACGAAATACTCTTTTATGAATTCATGAGCAAAATACAAAAATAAATGCCTTGCCTATGAAACATTATAAGAATATATTTAATCAAGCGTGGGCATATGCTTTTGGCTGATTTAACAAAGCATACGAATCTGCAAGTTTTACTTTAATTTATGAGAATCGATTAGAAAGGTTGCACTTAAAAATACGTATTTATCAAATAGCAACGCAGTGGAGGAAGCAATCATAAGAGTCAACTAAACTTGGATTGTTTGGTATAAGAGAACATACATAAAGACATACAAAAAAGTGAAAATAACTTGGTCTGTGGTTCAAAACCGGCTTGCAACCTTGACTTGGTTATGGGAGCTCTTCTATGTTGGACAAATATGTTATCGTAGCTTTAATTTGTTAAATTATTCTTAAATCCCATTTAAGATTGCAAATAAGATGCAAAAATCGTTTTCACATAAGAAATTGCAAACAGATTATAATTAGTTATAAGATAACACGAAGTAGATGCTTCGAGCCTCTCTTATCTTATAAAAAGCTTGCCACCCAACTGACTATTAATGGAAAGCGTGTTCAAATTACGAGAATGCCCATCATCATCAATGATATAATATAATCAATACGATTATAAGTTACTAAAATCGCGCCTTTCATTCTGCTGATATTGCATTGAGCGCTTATCAGCCAAGGAAAAGCTGGAGAGGAATTCCAGCTGCGGCGGAGCGCACAAATTCGTTAGAGTCGAACACATCAGCTGCCTTGGTAACCCGCTCTTAACTATACGACAAAGAGGCCGCTGCCGCGTACGTTAGCTGCCAGTACGTGCGTGGCATCGGGCGAGAGCTGACGAGCGATTCTCTATTGGCCCTAGCTCCAGACGCAACGCACATACAATACGCGCAGATCATACCAAACGCTGAATCTCAATCGGACGACGCCATGGATTTCGATGAGCTGCTGGCCAAGTGCGGCAATAGCCATCGCTATCAATATCTGCTGCTTGGACTCTATAGCCTGTTGATGTTTGTCACATCGATGCACAACTTCTCCCAGAACCTGATCGGCTTTGTGCCCGATCACTGGTGCCATCACGAGCAGCTGGAGAATCGCAGCTACGCAGAGATAGAGGCCATCTATAATCAGTTTGAGAAACCCTCGTGTACGCGTCTGGCGACAATCGGTTCAGATCTGGATGGGCGGAATACGACAATCAGTGGGGAGCGCTGTGATCGCTGGATTTACAACTATGATTTTGGTTTTAGGAGCATGAATACGGAGGTGAGTTACGGCTAGTTTTTATTCCATTGCTATTGCAATTATCTTATCTGGGTGGATGTTGCTCCGCACAGCTTAATTGGGTCTGTGATGAGGCCTATAAGGCACCCGTGGGACAATCTTTCTTCTTTGTGGGCTCCATGTGTGGCACGCTCATCTTTGGTTTGCTGGGCGATCGAATTGGACGCATTAAGGCCGTCATTTTGGCCAATTGGTGCGGCTTCTTGGGCGACTTCTTAACGATCTTCACGGAGAGTCTGACAGCCTTCTCCATAACACGTTTCGTTTCGGGGCTGGCAGTTGATGCCAACACCTATCTCATGTATATTTTGGGTGAGCTGTGCTCTAATCTATAACTATTTTCGCCTAAGCCATTTTATCTCTCGCAGCTCTCGAATACATCTCGCCCTCGCTGCGAAATGCAGGTCTGAGCATAAGTATGGGTATCTTTTACTGCTTGGGCATGATATGTGCCTGTGGGCTGGCCATCTTGGTGGGCAATTGGCGTTGGTTTCTGGCCTGCACCTCATTGCCACTGCTGCTGGTTACACTGTTCTACTTTCTGGTGCAAGAGAGCGCCCAGTGGCTGGTCACACGCAACGACATCGATGGAGCGGTGCTGCGTTTGCGTCGTGTGGCCAAAATGAATCGTCGCAGCATCTGTGAAGCGGACTTAGACGCCTTCCGCAGATATTGCCAGATCAACTGCACCAGGAAAGCACAGGAATCCAATGAGAATCAGGACAAGCTCATCGACATGTTCCAGACGCCGCATTTGCGCAAAACCATAATCACAATGCTGATCGTGTTGTAAGTGAAATATCGGACACAGCTCTCATAAATGTCTGATCGTTGCTTTCCTCTTCTATTTCTAGCACGATCATATCGGTGTGTTATAACACCTTGGCCCGCAACGTGGAGGGTCTAGGCATATCGCCATTTATAATGTTCTCAATGACTGCACTAACGCTGCTGCCCTCGGGCCTGATCCAGGCCGATATCCAGAAGCGCATCGGCCGCAAGGGCTCATCGGTGCTGTCGATGCTGCTCACCGGCTTGTTTACAGCGGCCAGCGGCATAGCCCTGTCCTTCTGGCAGCAGCCCAGTACCGTGCTGTTGATCACTTTGACAATGGCCTCCCGCCTCGGGCTGTCGGTCTGTTTTGGTTCGACCCTGCTGTTCTCCACAGAGCTGGTGCCCACCTGCGTACGTTCTCGTGGTCTGGCCGTGGCCCATGTTTCCGGAGCGGCTGCCTCTCTGCTTTCGCCGTACATCCTGCACCTGGGCACGTACTACAGAGCTGGTCCTTCGATAATATTGTGCCTGCTGTTTTTCATCTGTGCCTATTTGTGCCTACTTCTGCCGGAGACGGGCAATCGTAAGCTTCCCATCTCCCTGGCCGAGGGCGAGCAGTTTGGCAGGGAAGATCGCATGTTTGACTTCTTAAGGACAGCCACGGCACAGACTGCAGCTGAAGCCGATCGAAAGCCAGAGGCCGAGCCACTGCAGAAACTCATGTCTTAATAAATTTCTAACTTGGGGTTTAAACGCCTTTAAGTTTCATTAATTGATCAATTAAGCTGCGGCAGCCCATCAAAGTGTGTGAAGCAAGTGTCCCAAGCAGGCATAACTATCTAGTACTTAAGAGCATTAAACTATAAGATACCCTGTACGCAAGTGAATTCGTTATCAAGATATTGCAACAGAATGAAGAGTCGCAAAAGTATTTTATCCAAATAATTATTTGGAAGAACTCTTCTACTGTTAAGCTGATAGTTATTTAGTTATAAGAGTTTTAAGTCTTTGCCTTAATTAATTTGAATAATAAATAGATTAAAGATTATATGCAAAACATGATTTTTATGATGGCACATGCATAAAATTAAAAACTAAGCAAACAAATAGCAGAATCAGCATAAAGTCTGGTAATTTATGCATATCTTTGAGATGTTTGCAAACTCAACAAAAATTGAATTTAATTTGTTCGGCATTCACACACTCTTTCATTCATTATAGCTATTATAAATAATATAAAAGAATTATTTGTACAAAGGAAAATGCATTTACTTTTGCCCATTAACTGTTTATATATTAAGGAAATACACACTGAGCAAATGTTTCAAATATACTTATGTGTTTATATGATAGCTCTCTTTATCTTTGGCTCTCTTTGTATTACGTATTGACGCGTCTTATCTCTCCGTTATATGAGTATAAGCATTTTTATAAGAGTGAGTGCTCGGATGTTTCTTGGGGCGTATAAGCGACTGCCAAAATCCGGCAAGTGTTGTAGTTGAGTTGGAATAATAGACAGCTATATAAGTGTGCCAGGTAATTATTAATTTTAAATATTTGCCACACACAGAAATGCATATCATTGACGCGCTCTTAAAAAATAAAACAAACACAACCATAAATCCGTCGTCTAATAATAAAGTTTATATATATGTCCATATATACTATATACTATACAACTTTTTGGCGAGTTCTCTTGATAAGAACTCGGACACAATCTTGATACGGAAGCAGAATTTTAAATCTTAATGTAATCAATGGTTGATCGTTTAAAAACTATATATTTAATTGTAGCTAGGGAAAGCATATAAATTCGGGTCTGACGCGAAGAAAATACACTAATTCGGATTTTTAATAATTATTCTACACATATATACTGATGTATGCGTTTGTATATCTTATAAAATGTATATGTGTATATTTGAAATTTGTTTTCGGCATGCTAGTGAGCGCGGCGCTTCAGACAGTTGCCGGTCTCTGTCTAGATTAAGACGAATAAGTAAACTCACTTAAATAATAAAACATTTATTTCGTAATGGATAGAACGGTTCAGATTACACGCAAATGCGATAAGCGGCCGCAACAATCTTATCGGAATCGGAACGAAACAGAAACTGCGGCGGCACACACTCCGTGCGAATCTGATGGCTGGGACAGACGCTCGGGTCGGCCAGTCGGTCTTCAGTCTTAAACGAATCTCTGGCCGAGCACTGTGAGAGCGCGTACCGCAATGGAATTTTATAGAATTCTGGCAAAGTGCGGTGACGCGGGTCGGTATCAGTATTTGATGCTGTTGCTGCTGGGCTATGTAGCCTTTACCAGCACAGTACACTACTACTCCCAGAACATAATCGGGTTTGTGCCGCCGCATTGGTGCTATCACGAGCAGCTGGTGAATCGCAGTCACGACCAGATTGCCGCCATATATGCGCCCTTTGGCAAGGATGCGTCCTGCACGCGCCTGGAGCAGATTGAGGTCCATGAGGGCGTCTTCAATCTGACCGTTAGCAGCAAGAGCTGCGAGCGCTGGATATACAAATATGATTACGGATTTCGCAGCATGAATGTCGAGGTAAGTCTTGTGTCCAAAGCATATAACTGAATTGACATGGACTCCTTGCAGCTGAACTGGGTCTGCGAGAATGCGTATAAGGCGCGCATAGGCCAGTCCCTGTTCTTTTTGGGCTCGCTCCTGGGCACCTTTGCCTTTGGCATGCTGGGTGATCGGATTGGACGCGTGCGCGCCGTTATATTGGCCAATCAATGCGGCTTTGTAGGCGACTTTCTAACCACATATGCCACGAATCTGTCGCAGTTCAGCGCCTTCCGCTGCATCTCTGGCCTGGCTGCAACCGCCAACTATTATCTGATGTTTATTCTGGGTAAGCATTGCGTATCTGCTCACCTTTTTTATCAGCTCTGCTCACCTCTCTGCTCTGCTCCCACCACCACCCATGCCAGTGCTGGAGCATCTGGCGCCAAAGCTGAGAAACTTGGCCATCAGCGTCATGCTGGGATTGTGCTGCTGCCTGGGCGCTCTGGTGGCGCCCTGGCTGTCCGTCTTAGCCGGCAATTGGCGCATCTATTTGACATTCTCCGCAATGCTGCAGCTCGTCGTGGCGCTCTTTTATTTTGTGGTGCAGGAGAGCGCCCAGTGGCTGATCACGCGCAACAATGTGGAGGGCGCCATTGCCAGACTGAAGCACATTGCGCACTTCAATGGCCGCCAAGTGCCCGCAGCCGACTTTGAGGCCTTCCGGCAGCATTGCGCCGCCAAGCGCAAGCAGGATAATCAGCAGCAGAAGGCCAGGCTCTTTGATCTACTGCGCACTCCGCGGCTACGCAGAACAGCGCTCGTTGTGATCTGCACCTTGTGAGTAGTTGTCTTTGCTGGGCTAGCATCCTTATTGTAACACTCTTACACTCTTACTGCAGCATGCTGATATCCCTGAGTTTCAATACCATCTCACGCAATGTGGAGGGGCTGGGTCTGTCGCCATTTGTGGTCTTCTCGCTGTTTGCCGTGGTGGTGCCGCCCTCGGGCTTGCTGCAGGGTCTGCTGCAGAGTCGTCTCGGTCGTAAGGCCACCTGTCTTCTAGCCCTGCTATGTACCAGCCTGTTGTCCTGCGCCTTGGGCGTGTGCCTGTCCTTTGAGGGCGCACAGCTGAATGCCACCCTGCTGCTGGCCTTTGCGCTGCCCACCCGTCTGGGCATATCCATGTGCTACACAACCTTCTCGCAGTACTCGTCCGAGTTGTTGCCTACTTGTGTGCGCTCCCGGGGCATAGCTACAGCGCACTTGGCCGCTGCGGCGGCATCGGTTACCTCGCCTTATCTAATACACTTGGGCACCAAATTTGCCGCCGGCCCATCGCTTATTCTGACCGCGCTGCTGCTGACTGCGGCGACGTGCGCGCTGCTCCTGCCGGAAACGAACAACAGGTAAGTGGCGCTGAAAATGGCCAAGCACTTGAAGCTATCTATTTGGTGTCCTTTAGGCAACTGCCCATCACACTGGAAGATGGCGAGACCTTTGGCAAGGGGGAGTCCATGCTCTCTTTCGATTGCTGGCGGGCACGGGATGATGATGTGCTCAAGCAACCCGCAGAGGAGCTCAAGCTAAATGCGCTCAATGGCGTGCGGCGAAATGCAGAGGCGGATACGGATATGGAAGCGGAAGCGTAAAGACGCCTGTATCAAAAATTATTAGAGTATTAGATTAGATCAAACACACAATTTAGTTCCGAAAGTTGTCTGCAGATGCGAAATTTGCTTTTATTTGATTGATTTCGGGTCACAGTATTCAACATAATATTAATTAGGGTGTGTCTATATATATATATGTATATATATATGTATATATTTCTGTGTGTGTGTGTGTAAACTTTGTAATCCTGTAGTAATTTCTTACATAAGTATAAGTAAAGTGTACATGGTGCATGTACTCGTAAAGGAATATGCAAACATTTGCATATTTAACTTTATATATGCCATAAATGTTAGGGCTTCAATTTAAAGTTTTCCTTTTTTTTGAGATTTTCTAATGTTTTTCCTTTTCGCTTTTTTTTTAAAGAACTAGAGAAAGTCTTATAAATTACAAAATAGAGGTCGCTTAGCCCTGTTTGAAACTCTCAATGGAAAAATCTTGTATAGCAAAGTAGGGGCCAGAGTCTAAACTTAAGCCTAAGAGAGGTGTAATATCCAGGGAAAAGATTGTGGAAAATATATATATTTATATGTATATTTGTGTGTGTGTATCTTGAATTGTTGGTTGCCATTATAATAGGTATCTCATTTAGTTGATTAAAACTAACGCTGCGAGCCATTAATAAACCAAACCAAGCTGTGTTTGTTCATTATATGCAATTTGTGGTATGCTCAAAATTTGCTGGTGTGTACACTTTACAACTATTTATTTATTTTTTTATGCATTTGAAAGGATATTTTAACTTTATAAGCATCAAAGAACGTAAAGCATGTGTTATATATTGATACTTGTCTTATCTTGAGTACCCTTAGCTCGAACCAACATTACACTTCAAGTAGTTTTCATCACATCAGATTCAGGAATGGATTAAAAGTGTACTACCATATCCCAATTCTACATGATAACAGGTAGAACAGAAACTCTAATTTAACGGTCTGGCAACCTTGTCAACGATTATCGTGAGTCGGGTGTATTCCATAAAATTTTTCTTCTTTGTATATTAACGCAACATATTTCGGGCGCGAAGCCTCTTATTGAATAATATATATTTAACACTATATCTGATTGATTTTCTCAATAATTATTTTTGTTTTTTTGTTCATTTTCCTTGCATCTTAAATGCTATGTTTGAGCACTTTTTGCAATTGCTGTCAAATACAATAAGTACGTAAATATTTCATGATATACATAATTATATGATGTGTTTCCTGTTGGCATTCAAGCGGGATCTGACCTCATCAGATATTTAGAAAGGAGTTCTCTAAACGATAAGTTAATGCCATATATTTTTTTGGGCTCGCCATATAACAGTTTGCGTTCACTTAATGCTACTCTTGCTACTTATTTATTGTATAACTGTGTATATAACTGACTATGTAATCTCATAATATGTGTATATATGTATATTGTAGGATTGTATTATAAATATACCATGTAATAAACGCTAGTTCACAATAGTTCAGTTTAAATCCAAAAAATGCGTAAACAGTAAAAAGGTAAAAAGATTTCTCATGATTTTCTGGGTCTCCAGAGTAAATACGAGGAGAGTTTTTTTTTAGCACCATGCGAGTGAATGAGTGTGAATACGAGTTGAATAGTCGAATAGTCAATTGTTAAAACACAATTCACAATTTGTGAAGTTAGTTAGTTAGAGTTAGGTTAGAGTTAAAGTTAGGGGTTGGGTTGATCTGCTGGCATGCCTGGGAAGCCAGGATTGAAGTATAAAAATATATATGTAGTACATTGGAGATGGAAAATAAACTACTTGCGTACACATACAGTATTTACTACATGCATATGATTAGGCTGTCAACAAATTAGTAATTGTGTTTTTATCATTTTCTTTTTTGTTTTCAAATACAGTATGTATTTCCGCTGGCATTGCTCACCAGCTATAAATTATATATTTTTATATAATATGCTACTAAATACCATTTATTTTTTTGTGGTTGCAATATTTGCTGCTTATTGTTTGACTTTATATCATGTGATGTAGATGTTGAGAAAATTCGAACGCCCACATTTCCATATATCTCCCAATATTATATAGCAAACCTTTTAATCAATGTGGGTTCTCATATCATCATCATCATCATCATCGAATTTTGCGTGTGGGTGTGTTTGAGTGTTACTTTGTGTGTGTTTCGAAAACATTGAGTATAAAAGACAAGCGGTATTTAGGCAACGAGTGATTCAGCAATTTTCTTTTATCAAAAAACATTTTCTATAAATCTTCTTTTTTTTTTTTGTTATTTTGTTTTTTTTTTTTTTAAGTATCATTCAACATTATTTATTTGTATGCGCGTAGGTTTTTTTCAATGTAAACTTACACCGAAAGCATTCATAAGATTCGTTTTCTATATTAAATATAATTTTTCTCTTTTAGATTTTTTTATATGTATTTTTTTTAATAGATTTTAGGTATTATCGAACGTCTTACAGAGCTGCCTCGTCGTATATAATATATTTTGTGTATATAAAAGTTACACAACAAACAGATTTTTAGCAACAAGAGGTTGGAGGGAGTGTGACATACATATAGATCTTTTATGCTTTTGTTTATCATCTTTTATTTTTGGCTGCAATTTACTTGAGTTCTGGTGGGTATCTAGTCATGAAGTAGTAGAGTATTCATTTACTCGTATATATGCGAATATGAAGCCTTGCAGAGTTTGTTTTGTCATCTAGTTGTACAGTGCTTGCGATATGCTTGAAGTCTGGATTGATATATGTATATGTATATGCTTATGTATATGTATGTAAGTTTAGAATGCTTTTTACTTATGAGCTAGACCGTATAAGTGTTGGAAAACGAAAACGAGAGGTAAAAATCAAAACGAAAAAGATGCATTTACAAAAACGTTGTTATTTGTATTTCTCGATTATTATTGGATAGGTACTAGAACATATTATGTATTACATAGCTTAGAGTTTATGTCGGAGCTTAGTTATTATCGTATGTTTAATGCATACAGTATGCAAAATTGCAAATTCCATTTATTTTTGGACAAAAAAAAAACACACACAAATGATCCTAAGTAAGCCTACATAGCCATACATACACTTAGATGTACATATATGCATATGGGGCTAATTTGTCGTCGTCGTCGTTTTACTGAGCAATCTGCGTGTTTGGTTTACAATTTGTAGTATCTTCTGGGATATGACCCGCTTATAATTAGTGCAATAATTTGATAACGCTTTTTGTTTAATAAGTTTGTTTGTTGGGTTTTTCGTATTTGAACATTGTGCTGCTTAAACTACATAAACAATATAGATAATTTGTAGTATCATCGCCAATGCCAATGCTAATGCTGATGCCTGGCCAGACATATTATGTATATACACATATAAATATAGGTATACATATGTCTGATTGCCATATATTCGAGTATTCAAAATCTTTCTAAATCGTTCTAAATCGCGTGCTTAACTTTCGAATCGAACTTGAGTGCGTCAACAATCAATCAATCGAATCGAATCTTGAATTTCATTCATGCGTTCCTAAGTTCCTAGTAATGCTTGTCATCGTACCCTATTATGTAATTGCTACACATTTCCTCATTAATACAACACAATACGATTCAAATACAAATACAAATACAAATTCAAATTCAGTTACAAATACAAATACAAAGGGCATTCATATGCCATGCGGCATAACCCCAACTGCAACATTATATGTAGGTGTGGGTATGCATGTGTTTGTCTGCTGTGTGCGTGCCTGTGTGTGTTTGTGGCTAGGCAATAAATTACTACAGTGCAAATTGTGACGAGTACTGTGCCTATGGCAATGTGGCACGTATGCCATCCAGGCTGGAGCGCAGCACGAGGCTGCCCTCCACCCAAAAGTTGGGACGATCTAGCATGTTCTGCCAGAGCGATAGCTCCTTGCCGGTGGCATCCATCCAATCCACCTGCCGTCCATAGCTGCGACCTGTTTTGATTAAGGTGAATGAAAAGTTTCAGCTGTTTCTCGTTTTTGTCAACCACTTTTGGATACACCTACCTGTGCCCAGGGAGAAGCGTATGCCGCCCACAAACTCATTGCTGGCCAAGCGATCGTGATCCCAGACGGTCAGCTCCAGTGCGCGCTCCGACAAATCCTCCAGCGAGACATCTTCGTAGACGAACGTATAATTCCAGCTGGGATGCAAGGTGCGCTTTACCACCGGAGTCTTCTGCTTGGAGCTGCGCGTGCGATCCGGCAACAAGTAGCTAAAGATGGGGCAATGATTAGTTGCTGCCGCGACACATCTTCACTGTCGCCCACTCACCTCTTGCAGAAGGCATCACAGCTGCCATTGGCCTTGATGGGACTCAAGTGCTTGGCCTCCTTAACCAGCACATGCAGCTGGCCGCCCTTGGCACTGCGATCGGACTTAGAAGCCACCGATTTGATGCTGCCCCCAAATTTGCGTAGATTCGATGAGCTGCCTGTCAGGCTGGAGCCGCGCGAGAATATCGAGGATTTCAGATTCTCCGGCGGAATGTATTTCAGGCCCACCACAATATCGCCACGATAGGTGGCCACATCATCAAAGGGTTCGCTCTGTGATTGTCAAATAGAATTGATTTTAGTTGATGTTTTTTGTCAGGCTTGCCACGCCCACTTACACGTTCCTGCAGCAGATACCACTGCGACTGTGGATTGTCAAAGAGACGACCCTGCAAATTGACGCTGACCTCGCCCAGAAAATCGTTGCGGCCGAACATATCCGAATGCCAGACAGTCAACCATAAAGTGCGCGACTCCAAGCTGGAAATGGACGTGTGGAAGCGCAGCGTCTCATCAAAGATTGGATTTAGAGTGTGCTTCTTGACTTTGGTCTTGCGCTTGCCAGCCTTGGACTTGTCGGGCAGCAAATAAACCTGCCGAGTAGCAAGAAAAATTCCACATATTAAGTTGTTGCTCCTTTTGGGCAGCTCCAAGTACTTACCTTCACATAGGGATCGCTGCGATTGCGCTTGGCATCAACAGCGGCAAGATCCTTGCAGCGCACCACGTGTATCTCCAAGGCACCCAGCTTGTAGTTGTACTGCATGCCGAACTCCACCTGACCCTTGACCACAACGGTGCCATAGCGGCCTTCACCGGCGCCCGAATAAACGCTGGCCATGGATTCCGAGCGAACCTGTCAGTGCAATCGAAAGTTAGAGCTGGCGCGGAACTCCTTTCTGCTTCGATGTTAGTTGTACTTACGCCCAGGGAGCTGAGACTGCTCCGGTTCTGATGCATGGCCACCAGGCGATCGATGTCCTCATCCGACTGTGCCGGCCACGCCTCGCTAGAGGCTCGCGACTGTATGGGACTGGAGGCGGCGGCATCCGCATTCCTCTGTCCAATCACCGGCGAACGGCTGAGCTCCTCGGCAGCGGCCTTGGCTTCCTCTGTGCGCAAAGAAATATGAATTTAGTTTAAGACGTTTCCGCAATTATGGCTAATGAGCACCCATCAGACACACACTCTCGGACAAACACATTCAATATGATTGAGAAAAAGCGAAACAATATAATGATTCAATAGAAAGCGTGGCGGCAGTTGGTTGCATGCAACAGGCAGGCAGGTGTGGCAGGCAGTGCAGGCAGATGAAGCTGTAGCTGTGCCGCCTACCTTGCACCTCCTGAAAGGTCACATGCAGCGGCGTGCGACGTTGCAAGTTCAGCGACAGCCGCAGCCGCCCATCAGAAACAGCAGCAGCACCTGGCAAATCCTCCTCGAGCGTTTCGAGAAAGCGATCCGAGTTAGAGCGCAAGCTGTCATCCCAGGTCCAGGCGCGACGCTTGATCTGCGCCTGGCAGCTGGACGGCTGCAACACTTGCAGCTGCTGCTGCTGCCGGGGCGGGGCACTGCTGCTGCGCTGAAGCCCAACCTCTGCTGCCTCCTCTCTGGACCCAAAGTCCGTCTCATCCGTGTGCTCACTTTGCCTGCTGGTCGCCGCCTCGCGCTGATTCATCTCCAGTATGTAGGACGCGACCTTGGCATCTATGTCGTCGTCCTCCTCCTCGGAGTCATAGTGGTAGCGGTTGCTGCTGCTGTTGAAACCCACCCCACGCCGACCGCAGCATTTGCCCCAATGCAGCCACGAAGTCCATTTCGACTTTGTGGCAGCTCCGCTGTGCCAATAGTTCTTGTAGCCGCGTTGGCGTCGCCGGCGCCGTCGCCAGCACCAGCAGAGGCGCCAACGACGCCGCTTTGTCTGGCCAGTGGGCGTGGCTTGCGACTGGGCTTGGCGGCTGTTGCGCAAGCGATTGAATGCAGCATATTGTATCTTGCCGGCTGCAGGATTGGTCTCCACAGACAAACCCACACCCGTTGCCGCTGAATTTCTGACTTTGTGCACGCCCGCGATAGCAGCTGGCGCAGCTGTTGCTTGCTTTGATTTGGATGGACGCACGAATGCATTGTAACCGGCGGCATCTTTGGGAGTTTTACTTGGGCCCCGCTTGCCAATTAAACGCGTCACTTTTCTCATTATCGGTACAGGGTTTTATAATTGAACAGATCTGCCATTAATTGATTACGCTTTTGGGACTGAGAAATACTTAACGTCAACTTCTTGCAATTGGGTATATCGAAGCACCGTTTCAGATAGGAGGCAGGGACAAAGGCGTCTTCAAAATCAGACCCTATTAATAGTAGACCTTCATGAATAAAATGCAAATCGATCCAACTATATTCCAGCTATATCCGGCATTATAAGCTCTGGGCTATGCAAATCTTCCCTATAATTTAACACAGATGAAATTTAATAAACATTTCAGATAACTCTGCCCACGATCATGTAATTGATAAGCAATAAATAAAATTGCTGCTTTTATTTTTTAGCAATGAAGGGTATGTGCTAGTCGGGCACGCTAGGTTAAAACATGTTTTCTAGTTTCTGCTGCTCTTAAAAACTTAATTGCATTTGGCAACGACAACAACAACAACGACAACAACAATCATCGCAACAGCAACAGTTGCCAGCTGCTCGCAGTTTGGCTTTTATAGACTCACGATGAGTTTTGATAAGCAACTGCGCGATAAGCAATCTACATGTACATAAAATCCAAAAAGTAAAAAGAGCTGTGGACATTTTGACACGTAATTGGGTTTAGAATTTCCAAATGTGTTATCTAAGCGACGATATGTTCTGTCTGGCCAACAACAACAATGGCAGGGAACTGAATCCAAGGTGTTCTCTTTAATTCAATTGAAATTATTCCAAATTGCACTTGAACTTGTCGCAGCCTTGATTCGTGCCCGCAATTAGATACCCCTCCACACTCGGCTAATGGCCATAATTAGTCTGTGAAATGAAATTAAAGGCTTGGCAAAGCAAACACCTAAAAAAAAACGTTAAGAAACTGGGTCACATAACGCCCCAAAATAAAACAAAAAGTAAATGTTTCGTCTTGAATTATTCATTTTTGCTGCTGTACAAATTTTCCTCAATGCAGTCACGATTTGTTGACAATGTTTTCATTTTAACAATATTTGTAGTTTATGGCCCTTTTCATAATTTCCGCTACTTGGGGCATACTTAAGTGTGGCCAGCGCCAAAAGCGTCTAAATCAAGTTGAAAACAAAAATGAAAACGAAAATGAGAAAATAAACAAAAACCTAAACACTTTCACTGGCTGCGACCAATAGAGCTCGTGCATAGGTTTTAAAAATGCGATTTCGATTCCGATTTCGGATCCGATTTATAGAGCGCGTCGCGATCAAGTGCCGTTAAGCGTGGCGTTATAACTGAGCCCCAGAAGGCAGAAGAACTCAGCTTCAAGTTGGAAATTCGCCCGCAAATCTAAGTTTTATTCAATTATTGAAATATTGAACTCTTGTCCGGGGGAGGTCGTCGTCGGTCGTAGCGCCAATGGAAGTGCAATTAACGAAATGATTCTAGCTGGTGGCATGTGGCAAGTGCAACAGAGATAGTCATATTTGATCTGTACGTAAGGTTAATTTGATTACAAGCGCCATAAATAACGGGTGTGTCGCTTGTCTCGCGGCGGCACAAGGTGCCCGCATACAGGGTGCCTGCACATTTCCTGCCACAATAATCTCTAAATGCCAAATTGTTTGTGGCATGCCTTACTCTTGGCACTCGGCTCCAATAATACATGCAAGTAGTCTTAAGCGCAGCATTTAGCTTGCCGGATCTCCGGCCACTTCCGTGCTGCACTGTGATGCAGCCAAGCACGAAACCCACTCCAAAATTCTGTTGGCTGGTGTCAACGCGAGTTCATAAACATTAATTATTGTATGCAAAAAGCAAATAATCGCATAGCGAACAGGAAATAAACAAGCAAAGCACTTTATCAACGTCAAGAGCTTAAATGATATTGTGCGCAGACATTGAGTGTACTTCAGTTTCAGTTTCGGTTTCGGCTTCAGGCTCAACTGCAGATCCATTGAACCGGTGGCCAGGCGTATAATTGTATTTATTTTCTGCTAACATTGCTGCCAGATATACAATAAAATAAACCAAACTGATTTGGTTACACAAAGCTGTTTAAACAGCACAACAAAACAGACGAAGTGGCAGTGGGATAGGTTATTTGCATTAGTGATGGGCGCGTGAAAAGGCACGCGATGGGCATTTATGCGATTACAAGTTTAAAGAAATGTGCAAGTCTGGCCTAAACAATAAACATGAGCTTTTAAGTACATGGTACTTTCAAGTTCTTCAAGATGGCAACAGATGTATATACGATTATGTATTAATTATGTTTTTAGTTAAAAGAAGAAACTAGTCCCTAAAAATAGCATTTTATAGTTCGTCTAGAGTATTTTATGGTAAATATATCATCTTGTAAAATAAAGAATACATAATTAAAAGTTTTCTCTGATTTTATAATGATGAGTATTACAAATAATTAAAGGGTATTTCACAGCTCATCAGCTTAATGTATATATGCATATTTCCACAGAATTAAACACTAAATAAATTAACTTTGTCGCAAATTCATATACAATTCAATGGCTTTCCATGGGCTCCATAAATTCTGCAGAATTTGTTGCGTAATTGTTGGGCGGAATTTAAAATTCATTTTCATGCCCAACAGCTTACATAATTGTTCAAAAGTTTTATTGTCTACGTGGCGAGGCACTCACGCGCCCATCCCTAGTGCCAAAACAATTGAAGCAGAGTTCAAAGCCCCGCCTGCGCGCCTGCCACAAGGTTCGGGCTTGAGCACAAGTTCGAGTTTCATTGACCAAGCCGCAAAACAGCTTTTTTTTGGCCAACTAATAAATAGGCAACAACAGCAGCAACATACGCCCCCGTCAAGCGGAACTGGCGGCAGCAACAGTTGGCGCAGTGCGAAAATCGCTTTAACTTTAACTGGGAAGCTGGCAACGAGCGTAGCGCTTAATATGGATACAGTTAATTGACCTTGATTGGGTTGCTTTTGGACAAAAAAATAAAAGCCACGGGCCTATCTATAGATGGCCAACGCACATAGAATTCTGGTCTGAAGCGAATTGATGTGGTGTGCAGGCAAGGGGAATACTGCGAGCTACTAATAAAGCCCTGGAGCAGAAAAAGTAGTAAAATTATGATCAGCGTTGCCAGACGGGTAAAATAATACATTCAGCATTGAAATTCTATGTTAATTGGCAGAAATTTTACATAATAAAAAACAGGTTATCGATGTGGCGAAGTTAAAGTACCCAAACAAATAGAAGATTTGCCTTGCATTTTCAGCATAATTCACCTAGCTCTTAATGGAGCTAAATGATAAAGTGTACTATTAAAATATAAACAATTTCTTAGCAATAATGCAACAGTGATATCTTAAGCATTGTAAAGATTTTAAGAAGTATTTCATAAAATAACTGAATAAAATATAATTAGGACAGAGGAATGATAAAGGCTTTCGTTACTGTCGACTTTGATTAAAATACTAATCTATTCCAAATTTTATCAATATAGAAAATATAGAAAACTGAGTTCAGTTTCTGTAAATATAACTAGGCGGATATGACTATATCGACTTAGCTGCAAAAATAACTTCCTATCTGATTCGCACATATGGTGTTCAAATTATAACTCTCAGCAACGGTGAGCTAATTAACACATCAAATTCAAGGCAGCAAAATTGAGCTCAGACTTTTATTTTTGCCCATTTTTTTTCTGTGTACAAAATCACATTTCTGCATAGTTTTTTTTTTTTATTCTGATATTAGAGTAGCATGCCCCTCAAATCACAAAATTTCCTAGAAAAATTAAGGAAAATAGAAGCATATACAACTCTGTTCTTTTCACTCAAATTATATATGAAGAACTTTAATTGTTTGACTTTTATCAAGAAGTAAATAATATGAATTGTAAAATAAACGAGCTTTTGCACTTGAATTCCAAGAGAAGCCACAGTCAATAGACTTACAGTAAAATGTAACAAATAAATAAAATGTAAAAAATCTTTAACGATTGCCATATAAAAGTTTCCACATGAAAAATTGCTTTGAATTTAAGGACTGCAGGACTCTGAACAAATAACTCAATTTATTATTGAATAACCTTCTCGCGCTTGCGGTTAGTAAAGTTTGCTGCGAAACGTGTCCAAATGTGCCGCATGCCATTTTGACGCCCGGTTGGCATTTCAGGCATGGAACCACTTGGAAGCTAATCGCCATGTAAAAAGGTAAACATCTCAAAAATGCTGAGCATTCGCAGAATGTGAACTCTGTATGAGAATCATGTATCTGTGTATGTGTGTTTGTGTGTGTGTGTGTGTGTGTGTGTGTGTGTGTGTGTGTGTGTGTGTGTGTGTGTGCGTGGATAATGTATTTGCAAGATAGTTAAACGAAGGCCTTGGTAAACTCACCCGCTGACATGTTCAGGCGTTTGCGAGCATCCCGTTTCGAGTAGAGGAACTGTTGGAGACCACCGCCAAGCTTTTTGCTGCCGCTGCTGATGGAGCTGGCGGAGCCAACGCCAGCGCAGCCGCTGCTGTTGGCGGCAGCTGCACGTGCCGCCAAGCCTGGCGAGCGATAGCGTGCGCTCTTGGCGCTGCCCGTGGAAGAGGGCGTATAGTTGAGCGCATTCTGCGACTTGGTGATGGGCGTGCTGGTGAAAGCCGCGCCCACTGAAGCCACCGAGCTGGTGGGCAGGCGTGGCAGCGAATTGGTGCTGGCCACCGGCACGCTGCCAGTTAAGCTGCGCGGCAAGGTGGAGCGATTCGAGCTGAACTGGGCCGATTGGCCTTCGTCGCTGGAGTCCGTCTCGTAGATGGCATCAGGCACACTGGATCGGCGCACATCCTTGGCGGAATCGGCACAAGAGCTGGCCGATGAGAGCCAGGGCTTGGCGGGCGATGCCTCCAGCTGATGATGATGGGCATCGCCGCCGCCAATGCTGCCGCAGGAGCGCACGCGATCCAGCTGCTCGCGACTGAGGCTCTGCTGGTGCTGGCTGAACAGCAGGTCGCCTGCAGATCTGCGCTTTGCTACAGCCAAAGCGGACGCAGACGACGAGTTGTCCCTGTCTAGCTGGCTCAGCTGGCTGAGCCTCGTTCTGGAGTCGCCATTAGCCAGTAATGCCGACTCAAAACTGCCGCGCCACGAGAATCGCTCGTAATCGCTGGCCACGCCGCACTCCTCCCCGGCATTGTCGCCGGCCCCAACGCCCGTAGGCCCCGACTGCTGATGACCCGCCGCATGGCCAGGCGTTTGGCCATGGAGCTGTGTGTGTTGTCCAGAGTTGGCGCCGCCATCTAGCAGCAGATCATGGGAGCGGCTGCGCAGCTTAAGCTGCTTTAGCGGCAGCGCCTTCAGCTGCAGCTGCTGCTCCACCTCATCCTCCTCATCCTCCGTTGTGGTAGCTGAGATCTTGGCCTGCGCACGCCGACTGTGTCGCGTGGACGTGGGCGTCTCATTGCCGCTGCTCACTTCGTGCATCAGCGCCACCAGGCGGGTGCCTATGTGCTGCATGACCTTGGCAAACAGCTGCGGCGAGCGCTGATCCGTGCTGCCCGTGGACAAGTGATCCTCATCCGCCTCGACGGGCTTCGGCTGTGGCGCTGTTTCGCTGGTATCTCCCGCAGCCACCTTGCTGAAGGAAGCCACCAGCTTCTGGTAGACAAACGCCGTGTCGCCATTGAGCGCATGCGTCTCGTCTAGCAAACCTCCATCGCCGCGCACTCCCTCGACATCCACCTCGAACTTGTTGATTATCTGCTGGCAGCTGGCGGAGATTTGCGCCTTCAGCTGGCCCTTGTGTTCGGAGCCCTCCAAGTCGGAGCTGGTATAGTCTGAGGAGTCATACGAATCTGACCAGGTGTCTTCGCTGCTGAGATACTCGACTATCTCGCGCACCTGCTCATCATTGATGCCCGGCACGGTCTTCATCAGCCGCGTTAGCTCGTTCTCGAAATAGGCCAACTGTGCGGGTCGAGACTTACCCGACTTGCAGGCTAGCCGGCGCACCGAGCTGGGCGTGCTCCCACCGCTCTGATTCTGCGTCTGGGCCAGGTTCTGTGTCTGCGTCTGCGTCTGGGTCTGACTCTGCTGTGCATTGGCCGTCGCCACGATGAGCGTTTTGAAGAACTGACGCATTTTGCTCATCATGAGATTGGTCTCCTCGTCGGAGCTCCAGTTGTTGAAGCTATCCTTGCGCACCAGATTCGAACTGGTGGTGACGTTGCCTGTCACAGCCGCTGCTGCTGTCGGCGGCTGCAGTGTCATGCGACGCATGCTGTTGGTGGCAGCTGCGCTTGCGCTTGTGCTGGGCAGCTCCAGTTTGGGCAGGCTGAGTGCAGCCGCTGCAGCCAGCGGCTCCCGATCCTCGCTGATCTGGCCTAGTGCCGGCGTAGGGGATTTACAGGGCTCGCATTCCGTTGACTTCAATAGATCATCGTTGCTGCCCACAAAGCCGCTGTCGCGGCTGTGATGCTGCTGCTTCTTGGCCTGAGCTGTGCCCAGCGTGGACGTATGTGAGTCGGCTCCAACTCCAGATACAGATGTGCCCATATCTGCTGCTTCGTGCAGCTTCTTCTCGTCGAGCGAATCGTGACGCTTGCGCAGCTGCTTCTTACGCTTGATGGTGTCCGAGGAGCTGCCATCGGAGGCGCGATCTACTGCGTTGGCCATGTGTATGACGGTATCGTCGCAGCCTGCCTCCGATTCTGATGTGTCCTCTGCTGCTGCTGCTGCAGCTGCAGTTGTCGATGCGTCCATTGTATCCGCCTCGGGTAGCAGCAGATTATCTAGAGAGGAGTTGTGACTGCGCGGCGTGCCGCGTGCGCGCACCAGCCGTTTGCGTCGCTGGCTGGGACTGGGATGCCCCTCGCTGTCGCTGCCAACGCTGCCGCCGCTCTCGTCGCTCTCCGCCTGCTTCTCGCCGCCGCTGAAGCCCATGAAGCCAGAGAGGAAATACTTTTCCAGGCGCGATGAGGCCAAATCTGCGGCACTGTTGGCGCCATCCAGCAGCTGATCATCGTGCGGCAACGAGTCCAGACTTTCGGAGCACTCGGAACTGACCTCCGAGGCGGTATCATCGCCGCGCGTGTCAATGGAGCTCATGACTTTGCCATCGCCCAGGCCAAAGAAGAAGTACTTCTCCAGCTCGGAGGCGCTGAGTCTATGATGATGCTGCAGCGTGCGCATGCGCCTGCGTTCCGCCATATCCTCCTCCTCCTCCTGCTCCAGCTCGTTGTCGGCACGCATGGAGGCCACCTCACTCTCCTCACAGCTCTCCTCGACAATGGTGTGCAGAGTAAAATCAATGGCCGATCGATTATAGCCACGCAGCTCCTCCTCCCGATCCATGTACATGATGCGTCCGCCCAGCTCGCCATCACCCTCTGCATCCTCCGAATCGGTGGCCGTCGGTGTAGTCGTTGCATTGCTCAAATTCTCGTCCTCCTCCTCGTCGCCATCGCCGCGCTGACTCAGCTCCTCCACCCAGGAATCATCATCGGCCAGGCCATCGTCCAGGCTGAGCTTGGGCCGCACGCTCGGCTCATTTAGCGAGTCCACGCTGTAGGAGTCACGCGACAATTCCCGCTCACTTGGCGTTGGCGTCACTGGCAACAGTTCGACGCCGAGCTCCGCGCGCAGCGTATCGTCTGACTCATTGCCAAAGTTCTGGCCAAAGTTGTTGTTGCTGTTGCCAATCGCTGCCATTTCATAATCGTTGTCGTTATTCGTCGTTGTTTCTGCTGCTGCTGTTGTCGTTGTTGTTGTTGTTGCACTTTCATTGTCTTTTGTAATCATCACTAAACTGCGATATTTGGCTGAAAGTGAATTCTTGGCTGCAGCAACTGTTGTTGTCGTCGTTGTTGTTGCTGTTGTTGTTGCTGCTGCCTCTGTTGCTGCTGCTTGTTCGTTGATTTGCAGTTCTTGATGACTGCCAAATATTTTGTCGTATTCGTTTTCACAACTTTCAAACACACGCGACGATGCTTCATTCACATTCACATTCATATTCACATTCACTACGTCACAGTTGCTGTTGCTGCTGCTGCTATGTTGGCCAACAACAACGACAGCATTGTTGCTGCTGCCTTTTGTCTTTTGTGCTGCGAAATCGCCGTCATTATGGCCAGTGTTGTTGTTGTTGTTGTTATTATTACTACTGCTATTATTATTATTAATGTTGTTGTTGTTGTTAGTATACAACGTTAGGCGCGCGTTTGGCTCTTCAACCGCAACGTTTAACATTTCATTTTCGACTGACTCCGCTGCCGCCGCCGTTTCCAATGCCGACTGCGACTTCACATCGGCTGCGCAATCGGCTTTATTAGCAACAGGTAGCGCACTCTCTTTATGCTCAGCAGCTGTCGCTCTCCCAGCTACCTGCTGTTCTTCTTGCTGCTGTTGTTGTTGTGCTTCAGGTGCTTTACTCGTTATGGCGAGAGAGTGAGAGTTCGACGAGTCGACGAACAAATCGTCGTTTATTTTGCATGCTTCGCTGCGTATACCGCCGCCCGCAGCGTCCCCCTCCGCCATTGCCAGCGTTTGCACAGCTGTTCGCTCTGCGATGGTTGTCGCTGTTGTTGTTGTTGCTGGTGTTGTTTGCCTGGCTGCTAGTTTATTATCGGTGTTTGCTTTTACCTGCTGCCGCTGCTGGCATGAAAACCCAAGAGTCGCTGCCTCTGTTTTCTCTGGCTTTGCCAGTTCTTCTTCGTTTACATGCTTACCCTCGGCGTCGCTTGGTTCGTTTTGTTTCGCTGCTTCGCTTTCGTCATTAGAATTAACGTTTACGCCTTTCTGGGAATGGCAACTGGCCGGCACGAGGGTTGCCTCTGTTTGGGCCACCGCCTCCTCTATGTTCTCCGCCTGCTGTGCATTAGGTGCACACCCTGCTTTAAGCATTTGACTGCTGCATTCGCTTGGCTTCTGCTTCTGTTGCTGCTCCATGTGGGCGGCAGCCGCAGCAGTGCTGGGCAGCAGCAGATGATCCTCATTGATTTCGGCCACGCCGCGACGCAGTCGCTGCAATTTGAGCTCCAACTGGGAGTTTTGCTTGTGCAGCGCCAGTAGGCGATTCACATCGTTGGAAATGCTGTGCAGCTCATCGCAGGCAGCCAGGACGGAGCTTAATTCGAATGGCAGCGGCTGCTCAATGCTCTGCTCTGATTGCTCCTCTGACTGCTCCTGCTCCTCCTCTTCGACGTCTGGCAGAGCGCGCATGCTATGCAGCACAACGCCGCCGGCATTGGCGTCGTCGTCGGTGCAGCCGCCCACAACCACAATGCAGTTGGCAAGCTCATCGCTTGAGTTGGCAACGCGGCGTTCACTTTCATCATCATCTTCATCTTCGTCGCTGGCATCACGTGCCGCTGCCGCTGCAATTGGTTGTTGTTGCTCAGCCTCCTCCTTCTCCTCCTCCTGCTCCTCGGCCAATGCCTTTACGTAGTTTAGCACAATGCCACAGTCGGTGCGTTCGGTATCCGTATCGTTATCTGATGAATCTTCGAGATTTGCATCCGAAGAGGACAATGAATCACCCTCGGTGGATGAACTGCGTCTGGCACGCGCCGCCTGGCCCACCTGTCGATTTACTACAAACACCTTGTTGAAACGTTTGCGCTTGGGTCGCCGATCTGCGACGGTGCCGGTGTCATCCGAGTCACATGACTCGGAGCTGGAGCTGCTGGAATCACTGCTGCTGCTGCTGCCGTCGGTAGTGCTGTGATGCACCATTTGCACCGGCAATGCTGGTCTCTGTGGCGCTGGTGGCTCCTCCATCTCCGCCTGCATGGCCAAGGCAACATCGTAGCTGCGCTCCACCAATTTGCGTGGGCTGCGCTCATCTTCAGTTTCACTGTTGCTGCCGCTGCTGCTGCTGCTGCAGTTGCTGTTACTGCTGTTGGCGGCGTAGCTTTCGCTGCGCAAATGGCCAAACGCCGCCACCTCACTTGGCTCGCTCTCGGACATATTTGTGGGTTTTTTATTTATAAACCGATGGGAGGACAAATTCCTCGCTAGCTGCGGCTCTAGTTGTGGCTGCTGCTGCTGCTGCAGTTGCTGTTGTTGCTCTCTAGGCGCAACGGCGGCAACAATCTCAACATTTTCGACTGCAACTTGGCCGCCGCCGCTGAAACGAGTTATTACCGCAGGAGCAGCCGCACTCAATGTGGCTCCAGTTGTTGTAGTTGTTGCTGCTGTTGCTGGTACTTGATTTTTATGTATATTTGTTTCGTCTGCTGCCTCCGCTGCTTCGTCTTTGTCGTCGTCGTGGTTGTTACTCGCCAGGTAGGTTTGTCTTTCAGTTTCTGTCTTTTCTGTTTGTGTTTGTGTTTCTGTGCCCGCTGCTGCTGCTGTTGGTCTGCTGTTTTGCACAGTTTCGCATAGATTTTGGCATTTATTTGGCAGCTTGGCTGTCAATGTTGCTGCTGGCATCGCCTCGCTTTTATCAGGCACAGCGGCAACATCAACATGTGCTCTAAATTTAACACTGGTGCTGGCGTCGCAGTCGCAGTCGCTGCTGCTACCTTTATCATTCGCATTACACAATCTCACTGTTGTTGTGGGCGTTGTGGCGACGTCAACGTCAACGTCAACGGCATCGGCATCGACACAGAGCGAACGACGCGTTTGTTGTTGCTCACCCGACGGCGTGCGCGGCAATACTAAACCTAAACTTGTTGGAGCTGGCTTGAAAGCCATTTGGCTGGCCAGTTGTTGTTGCTGCTGATGCTGTTGTTGTTGTTGTTGCTGTGCCAGACACAGACAGCCGGCTAATGTTTCCAGGCTGCGACCTGCTGTGCCATAGCCGGACGTTGCTGATGAAGACGTGGACGCAGTGGAGCACAGCGACTGCGTCATCAGCGAGCCCAGCGAGGCGCTCAGCTCCGGCGCCGAGGACTTAAAACCGCCGCCCAGTTGACTTGTTGTTGTTGGCAATTGCTGATAGCTTTTGGTTGTTGCCGGCGGTGTTGCATCAAACATGTTGCTGGCCGCGGCGAATTGCTGTGAATAAGCAACCATGGCCGCGGCGGCGGCAGCTGCAGCTGCTGCCTGTTGTTGTTGCTGCTGCTGTTGCTGTGGCGAGTTTGGTGACGACGAGGCTGCAGCCGCCGCCTGCCACAGCTGCTGCAGCGAGGCAGCCAGGTGCTCGTCCTGCTCGAGCAGCGGCGCGCCCGTATGCTCCAACTGCCAGTTGTGGTAGGCGGCCAGTGGCACGGGTATGGGCACCGGCACGGGTATGGGCACATATTGGGGCTGCTGTGGGGTTGTTGCCCCACTGCAGCCGCATCTGCTGGGTGTGTGGCTGTGATGATGATGCTGATAGTGGTGGTGGCTCTTGAGGAATCGCGTCTTGATGCGCGCCTTCATGCTGAGTGGCAGCGTGGGCGTCGGCGGCGTCTGGTTCTGATCGGAGCTGGTCTGGGAGCTGCTCTCGGCCTGCATGTGCAGCTCCTCGTCGGTGCCGGTGTCGCTCTCACGTATCTTGGAGCAATAGCTGCGCAGCTGCTGGCGACGCTGCAGCAGGGGAGAATCGCTGTCGCTGGACTTGCGCCGCAGCCGTGGCGGCGGCGTAGGCGTTGTGGGCGTCATTGAACTGGCGTAAGCTATCATGGTTGTGGTTGTCGTTGTCGTTGCAGCAATCATCGAGGGTTCAAAGTAATCCCAATCGCAGTCCTCCACATTGCTCACAATACTGTGACACTGGTGCGTGGATGTGCAGGAGGAACTGGACGCGGTATCCGTATCATTGCCGTCACCGTCGTCGTCTTCTTCCTCCTCCTCTTTGCACGACGATGACGAGTCCGAGTTTAGAAAAACAAGCTTGAACTCATCCGCTTCGACACTGTACTGCGACTGAGCCGCCGTGGACGCGGTGCTGCACCTGAACTCCAGCTCCGACGACGACGATGTTTCCATGGCATCGCCGTTGCTGTCACCGGAAGCGCCAGCTGCCAGCTGCGAGCCTGTGAATTAATGGGGTGGGTTTTTTTGTTTTGTTCTTTGTAGAGCAGTTTTTCGACTCAATTAGCTTGACGTTGACCGACACCACAGAATGACAATGGAAAATACTGGTTTATCACAGGTGAGATACGGGTTTTCGGCATGTTTAATGGTTTTAGCATGGGTAACTACTGCACCACCACCGCAAGAGCTTGGGCGGACAAGGTGGTTGGAAAGCTATGTACTACAATGGGGTTAGTCCACTATTTGTTAAGCTTGTTATATACTTCTGTGCATGTATAAATATTGTGTGTTTATGTAGTACTTATGTTAATTAGATACATTTGTAATGCTTGTCACCATTAGATACTCATATTATTAATACTTATATTACAGTATATCAACAGATTTCTCGAGCGACATTCAATTCACTTTTTGGCAATTTGCGCTTAAAATTCTCAAATGGTTTAGCTTATTTTAGCGGCAAATTGAGGACTCTTGAGCAAAGTCGTTTGTAACTAATGTGAAAGTTGTGGCAAATATCGGTTGGCTAAATATCTATTAGCCTATTGAGTACCCACTCGCAGACACCGCTACCTTGCAATCCAACATCTGCCGTATGATGATCTCGAATCGACGACTTGTCTCACCCTAGAAAACGCAGCTATTTAATAGATCTAATTTCGCACCTAAGCTAATATTTATGCAGATCTCGAGGAAATGCTTTGCATATTTGACTTTCCCTTGCCCCCAATTCACATGCTTGTGTTTTTCTTCGCATCTCGCTGGCCCAGGCAGACGAAATGTCTCCCGAAAGTATTTTCCTTGCGGTTTTATCTTTAATACTCGAGCTGCGTTTATGCTATATTTGGCAAAAAGCTTTTTAGGCCAGGCCGCACCAGCTTCCAGTCTCGAATCCTTTGCAGCAGCCACGACAGCTTGTCCGATAGATTCCTTGTATTTGCGCAAACAAAACAGAGGGAAATGCATGCATGTTGCACAAGCCCCTGGCAGCCGCAAAGCAAATATTTGGGGTACGTTCACTCTGGCTCGTTTCGAAAAGTGGCTACCCCCTTCACGACTCTACTCAACAGGCAGGTGCTCGCTTAAAGATTAACGATACATTTTCGACAGCTAGCCCCCAAGGAGACGAGGCACTTGAGCGAACTTCCAAAGCTTGGGCGACAATGTCCTGATTGTAGTTCTCGAATGGATTCGGGTTCGCAGTGGCCGTCCCCGAGACTCGCAAGCAAACAGCAAATTAAAACATAACAATAGATGCCAAAAGCATTTCGGGGGGAGCTAAAAAAAAAAAACGCTTGTATTGTTGGAAAATACAAACGCACATTTTCGACTGTCTTTGTGTTGTGGGCGATTTATGAGTTCGCTGCCATATCCTGTGTGTGTGAAAATATTTCATGGTTCCCCAATAAACCACATAAAACGTGCACTTAAAAAAATTCAATTTCCTTTTGCGGAATGAGCGGTATTTCCTTTAAATAAATCGAACTGTACTCTTACAAACATAGATAAAGAAATAAATTTTTCAATTAGTTATATAATTGTTAATTATGGTGGTTTTCTCAAATTGATTGCTTCGCATTTCTAGTATCTATCTGATTTATTTAAATTTTGGAATTAACTTTACTTACTGTCCAGTATACTTTTCTGTTTTAGTTTGAGGCCAAACTTCAACAGCAAATGATTTGAAGAATACATTACATTGAAGAATTTTAAAGGGTTGACCAAAATTGTGCATTAATAGAATGCCGTGTCAAATCTTTCCGATTTTATAGAATTTGTTATAATCAATCGTTTAAATCGGCTGTTTTTTCGTAAATTATAGGATTTGGGGTAATTGTTTCAATAGCACTGATCATAACCTAAGTAGTTGCCATATCAACACTAGCTTGGTTCGAGTCATGAGATTAGCTGTGATCTTTAAATCTTCGCCACTATCTCACGTAATTTTTTTCTCGGAGTTTATCGTTTCTTTGTGATATGATATATCATATATGAATAACTGTGTCTCTACGCCTATATCTAGTTCGAATAACTGAAACTCTTCGGCTCCCACTATAGAGATTACAATGTATTTTCCCATTTCAATTCTGCAAATTCAAGTTGTAGAAATACACAAAATTGGGATTATTTTTCATTTGTATTTTTCTGAGTGTAAAGCTGCAGGTTCGTTCTGTCAACTCGCTACAGTAAGTGCGCACAAAGGATAACATTGTTATGCTCGCTATATCTAGTAAATACATAGTATCGAAGAATTTCGAACATGTTTTCATTTTTCACAATTGTTTTGCTATGCGCAAAAGTGAAGCACACTTTTAGGCGGCAATTGAAATGGGTTTTTTAACAATGAGTGTTGTTTCGGGGCAGCGTCTGTTTATTGAGTTTGTAAATATTTTCTTTGCTTAGCTGCAGCTAAAAGAAGAGCATTGCGTTAGTCACAATTTAAATTCCTTAGTCCCTCAAAGTGATGCACTTATTACCAGCCACAACCCACAGAGTTTTGGTTCCTTTGACAAATCTCGAAAAATGCTTGCAATTATAATTATACCCAGATACTTAAGAGCAGAACAAAAGGCAATGGGGTGGTTAAAGTGAATAATGATAAAGGCAATAATGACCCACATCAAGCGCAGGACTTCTCCCTTCTTTCTTCCCCTAGCCCCGTGCGGCACCAAAGTGTCGCTTAATTAATTTGTGCGTAAAATTAGAGGAAAAGCAAAACCCAGCGAAAAACTTAATTTAGACACGGGGCACCGTCACCAAGCTTATTATACGCCAAGCACACACAACCACAACCAATACCACAACCGAAACCACACATATACACACATACACGCAGACAGATACAAACTACATAATTTAAGAGCTAGTGGAGATGCTGGTCATTAGCACTCACCCTCCTCGGCGGCCTTCTCCTTTGCCTTCTCCTTGCGTCGCTGCAGCACGACCTTCTTGAAGACAACGGCAGCTGCCTCCACTGCATTCTGCAGCTCCTGCTCCCCCAAGGTGCTGGTGTGCTGCTGGAAAGGATTAAGCATCAGTTGTGGGGCTCTGATTAGTGTGTGTGTGGGGGAGTCACTTACTGCTGCGGCGCCTTCCGTCTCACTGGCCTCCTTGTTGCTGCCAGCGTTGGGGCATTTGCCGTTAGCCTCTGCTGTCTTTGCTGCGGCCGGCTCGTCCTCTTTAGCTGGGACTGTGTTAACGGGAATTGGCGTTTTTTTCAAGCGATTGGTTAGGTCAGAGTTCTGGTGCTTAAGCAGTTCATGGAAGGAGTAGTGATGCTGTGGTACTCTACCTATATAATGGTTAATGTTTGTGCCGCGTGCGGCAGCGGGGAGGGGGTGCACAAATTTAATAAATCGGGTGATTGCAACTAACTACAGCTAAATAAAGCTAACCAGCTACAGGTTTCTACTGCTGCGCGGGTGCACAAAGCAACTAGAGCAACTATTAGAAATCGTCAGCCTGGACTTACCCTCCTCGCCGCGGCTGTTGCGACGACGCGCTTGGGGAATCTTCGAGGCGCCACCGCGCGTCTTGTCCAATATATCGGCCAGCGGTCGGGGGCTGGGTATTTTCGAGGTCTCCAGTTTCTTTGGTGGCTGCAAAAAGTTGGCTTAAATTGGCTTAAAACATTCGACAAAGGCAAAAATAATCATGTTACCGTTGAGTCCTTTTCGGGATGCGAGAAGGAGCGACGCGTCACGGGCTTGGGCGCCGTCTTGGCGCCAGAATCCTCCGACACGGAACGCATTTGCTCCGGCTTGCGACGATCTGCTGCACTCTGCTCCGTTGCTGTTGCCGAGGCACCTGCTGAGGCGCCCGGGGCTGTGGTTGCCATTGCCGCTGCAGCCGCTTCGCCTAAGCCCGCTCCGTACTCCTCCTGTGGCATGGGCAGCTCCCGGGATTGTCGTCGCCGCATTCGATTGTGCATGAGCGGAGTGCGTGGAAGGGCCGCACCGCTGTGCATCATATGGCCCGTGGCGCCCATGTCCGTGTAAAAGCCAGGCAGTGGAGCCGCCCCATAGCCACCATCGCCGCCCGCCAGAACGTTCTCGGCGCTGTAGATGGGCCGCGTGTTTCTCGGCTTGTAGGGAGAATCGTCGGAGCCATTGTTGTAGATGATACGCGGTTCGCTGCTGAATCCCGCATTATAGTTCTTCTCGTACTGGACCTCATCCGACTCCAGAAAGCTGGTGGCGCTGTTTCCAAAGTAATCGACGTATTCCGGCTGAGTTTCCAGCTCCTCGCTGACATCGGGAAACTGATTGAACTGCTGCTTGGCCTCGCCGAAGGTGCGGGAGCCGTGCTCCTGCTCCTTGAGGCAGTCCTGCCGCACCAGCCGGCTGGGAGAGCGGCTCTGCGAGCGCTGCGTAGTGGGTATTTCGGGCAGCAGTCGGCGACTCTCCACATGGGCTTTGCTGCTGTTCGAGTACTCCTCGTTGCTGTGGCTGCGCACCTTGATCATCTTGGAGTGCGGATCGCGCGAATGGTGTATATTGACGCTTTGGCTGCTCGAGTACTGCTCGCCGGCGGTACTGGCTACGCTCCCGCCGCTGCCCAGATCCACCGCGCCCACAGTGGGCACATTCTGCTGTGAGAGAAACTGGCGTGGATTCTGCACGCTGGGAAACAAGAAGTTCTGCTTGGTGCGCGGCGAGATGGGCATAAATTTGGCCGGTGGCGCCTGGTGCACGGTCAGCGTGTTACCGCTACTAAAAGCCTCCGGATTTGGAAGCGTCTGCTGGCGTGTAAACTCCGGCGAGCGTCGGAACTGCGGAGAGGTCTGGCGCTTGGGCGGCGATGTGGGCAGCAGCTTGACGTGCTGATCGGGATTGGGCAATGTGGCCTGGCGCATCATGCGTGGCTTGCCAAACGTCTGACTATAGTCTATCTCATCGCTGGCCATGCTGGATGCCTGCGATTCGTAGTTGAGCGGCGGCGCAGTGGCCGTTGTGACTGCTGATGAGGATTGGCTGGTCGGAGCCGGCAAATTGGCTGTGCTGGGCAGCAACTTGGTGCGATGATAGTTGCTCGGCGGCTCCGGGAAGGATGTTTGGCGCGTGAAGGGCGTATAACGCTGCTGTTCGCCCGGCGACCGTTCCGGCGAACGGCTATAGACGCGATTCGGTGAGGTGGACATGTAAATGGTAGGTGGCGCCTGGCATGGATTAGCCGGCAGCGTCGACTGGCGGCGCACCTGCAGCCGATGGCTATGCGTGGGTGGACTCGCTGCTGCCTCCAGCTGTGGCTGCGGCTGCTGTATCAATATCTGGGTGTAGTTGTCGCAGTCGGCGGCGGTGTTCATGTGGATTATATCGTCGCTGTTGTAGGCGCTCGGATAGAGTGGATTGTTCTGCACCTTATGCGGCGAGGTGGGCGCGGTCAGATTCGCCGAATTGTAATTGGCCAAATTGGCACCGCTGCCGCTCAGATTCGGATCGTTATTCAGTGTGCTGGGCAGCGTCGATTGGCGTAAAACCCGACGCCCCAAATGCCACTTGCTGCCACTAATGGGCGTGGCAGTGCCACTACTATAATTAATGATGTGCGTCTGGCGCGGCTGCGGGGGCGCCTGATGATGTTGCAGCTGCTGCTGCTGCAGCTGCTGATGCAGCGTATTTTGATGCAACGAGGGATAGCTGCCCGCCGATTGTGCTTCAATTAAATGTTGTTGCTGTGGATACAGATTGTCGGTGACGGGTTGTTGCGAATTCGGATTATTCGGATCGTCCTCGGGATCTGCAAGCAGGCATTGTTCAGACACAAATAAAATTAGATTACTTTTAAGCAGACTCACTTGATATGGTCCAGGAGCGGCGTATGCTTTTCCGCAGCACGTCGCTGGTGCTTAAATGATCGACAGACTCGCAGGACGCATAGGCTTCCTTCAGCCACTCACCGCTGGCGGCCTGTAACTCCCTGCAAGAAGAACAACAAGACCAATTCCATTTAAAACACCAAAATACATCCGTTAACATGGCTCAATACACGTCTGCCCGTGTCAGCCAGAGCCAACAAACTGACTGAGTATCTGACACAAGCAAAAACAAAAGTTGCTGAAACAAAACAACAAAACAAAAAACAAGCGTGCCAGATCTCAAGACACCCTGTACGTAGCGCCAAGCTACCCAAGATGAAACCCAAAAAAAAACTGCATTTAATAAAATTTTCGCTATATTTCAGAACATTTTTCCTGGTTTTGAAAATTTAAAAATGTATATATGCGGGAACAAATATACCAATTAATGGTGATTTCAGTTTTTATGTTGTCCGATGAGTATTATCACTTTATTGGAATGTGGATATGTGGGGCACTTATGACAGTAGTTAATTGAAGGCTGCAAAAATGGGTGTTTGATATACCAATATTTTTGAACGTGACCTCTAACTGGACTAGTTAAGTGAGCCTGTGCCGAAATTGGGTTGAACCGTGAACAATGGTAAACGTTTTTTTTTTAGCTCAGATCGCCTCGGTTGTTGATGCTGCTCAAGAAATATTATAATTGGTGGAAGAAGCCCTCCACTGGCTGTCACATACGTTTCCGCAAAACCAATATGTTCCATTTCTTGCCATTTATAGGGCATATCATTAGACAAGACACCAACACGACGCAACACCGTAATGACTATACAAGGCGGGTGCTCTAGAGGCTGCTCTGGAGGCGTCTTTGGTTGAGGGCGCAGCCGCTCGGAGACTGTCAGGCGTTTTTCATTTCAGACTTTATGAACAAATTCCAATCAAAGACGCAGCCAGTGTCAGAGCTATCGATATATATATATATATATATATATATAGTAAGGCATACGATATGTGTGCTAGGCAACGCCTCACCAGAGCTGGCTGGGGCGTGGGGCACATCTCTTCACACAGCAGTTGCAATTGCTGCGTTGACAGCTGGCTGCCATTTGGGAGGCGTCAGTTTGGCTGACACCTGTGGGCGTTGCTAGCATCTTGGCAAATTTCAGCACGCAAAGCAGCTCCAAAATTTACATACCATGTAGTTACCCTGCAGCTGCCCGGGCTGCTCTGGCTGCTGCTGCGTTGGCCAACATTTAATTAGTTCAGAGTCTTGCGTCTGGCCTTGCTTACTTTTTATTTATTTTGTTTTTAGTAACGACTTTTTTCGGGGCTTGGCAATTAACACTGAACTCTGGGAGCGTGTGGGTCGCCTGACAGCATCATCAGCAACTGCAAAGACTTCAACACTTGTTTCTACATTACTTTTCGGGCAGTTAAAAAATGCTGAACTCCGTGCAACAGGGCGTATGTGTAATATTTATATGACTAAACTCGATAGTCGATACCATTAATCAAATATGGCATCGAGTCTATTAGCTTCAGTTAATATTTAAATTGCACGCCCGTACATTGACAAAATGTACCACAATTTATAGTATGAAGTCAGATAAATTTGGTTTAAGGACGAGTGTTGAACTCCTTGAGAGCAGATTGAAAATAATAATTCATTTCACGACGCCTACAGGGTTCTTGGCCAACAGTTTCAAAATCTTATCGAAGTCCGCAACGTTTTTATTACTTGTTAATATTCATATTTCCAACGTATTTAATGACAAGAGCTTCGCTTTAAATACTTTTATTTACTATTAAAACCCAATTAAAATATGATTCCATGAAATATCCGCCAAATGTTTCTGCCCATCTAGACTCCAGTTCTAGGATATGCCTAATTAGGCTTACCAGATAGACTTTCACTTACAATTAGCTTGCAGTTCAGGCATAATACAAATTGTTTTGAATAAAATTACCAAGAATCCTTGTATCCTTATGTATCCAGAAATGCTAAGCCAATTCCAACTAAAAAGCTGCTTCCCAACTAAAACTGCTGATTGCCACTCAAACTATATAGAACTAAGTGCCAATTGAAAGATGCATGGTTAAGCTCTTCTACAACTGCAAAACTCACGTTTCTCAGTTTACCTTGAACACATTGAAAATGTGTAGAACGGGTATAATCGTTTAGTGCAAATGCTCTAAACAGACGGAGTGAAATGTGTCCGACTCCATAAAATATATATAAATACTTGCGCAGCATTAACAGCCAATTCGATCTAAACAAAAGACTGGAAATTTGGAATATAGGTCTTCTTATTAGCTTTGATCTGTGCAGGCGACCAAGTTAGTTTTAAGTTCGTTTCCATTAAATGGATTAAATTCTATATCTCTTTGCATTATATGTGTGTATATATAGATTTATTTATTTCACATTAACTGTTCCCCACAAAATTATAAAAAAATTTGTTTATGAAGGCTCTTGGGCTTTGGTATTTACCCACACTTGGATGTCATATATATATCAATGGACAATGAACACCAAAGTTAATCAAGAACTAAAAAGTGAAATAGCTGCAGCATTAAATGCGTAGATGTGTATGCCTGTGTGTGAAGATTTAGATGTGTATGCGTATGTGCGAGAGTGCTTGCAAACGCAGCTTGGCGCCGAGTTGAGGGTGTCTTATAGTTAGGCACTTCCCACTAGTGCACACCCACTTGTTCACTTCTCAATGAGGTAACAGCTCTTTTCAGCTATCTTTTTCAATGGGCCTGATGAATGCTGGGCTCATTATAAGGTACTTAGTTCTAATTGGCAATGAAAAAGCAACATTCTCTGCGCTTTTACAATAACTTTCAGGTTTGCAACTGGCCATACTTATCTTGTTATGAATGAATGTTGCCTTTGTCATCATTCTTTCCATAAAGTTCCAGGGAAATCCTTAAATAGTCTTTGGGTGAAATGCTCTTATGCTCGTAACAACTACTCAGAAGGAAAACATCTTCAGCTAGTTTTCTTTGCTACTCATTGTTCACCTTGAACTTGTTCACACTTTTTTCTCATATTATTGTTCTCTGAGTGAGTGTGCAGGTTAGTCAACTGGTTTTAAAAAATTAACCTTAAGATGTAAATGGGCAAAATTAAATCTTGGCTTTTATTGTACCTCAGGCAACACACAAATAGTTTTGGAGTTAGCAAAGCGCTTAGGTATCGGCTTAGTCATTGTTTTTTCAAAACAAAAACCCATTTGGTGCAGCAGAAATAGCAAAATAAATAATTCAGTTTCCAGTTGCAATATTCAGGCACATATTTGCAACAGCCGCCGCTCAAGTGCAAATGAAAATTGAATATCAACTGTTGTTGTTTATTTTGGGATATATTATATATAGAATAAAGGCGTTATAAACTTCGTATACGATTAAAAAGTGCCCAAAAATGCATTTCAATCGAAAATTGTAAAGTGAAAATGTATGAACACACATGATACACACTCACGCACACACACACGCACAGAATTTCTAGCAATTTTCGGCTTGCAACGAGAGCAACCGAAAAATTCAGCAGAAATGCCCCAAACTGTTGCCTCATGAAATATGCAACGCATCAGCTGTCAGTGGGGGTCATCGGATGCCCTTTCGGTATATGTGATCCCATGGAAATTTATTTTTGTACGCATCAGGTGACAATTTCTGGTTGCACAACACAAAATTAGCAGGCAACAATGAAAATGCTGGGTTAGCTTTACGTATTTGCAGCGAAGGCAAAAGCTAACGAGCCATAATGCCCCAGGGGAGATTGCTTGATAGATAGGGCCTACCCTGTAATCAGCTATTGGGAGGCATATCAGACTTCGTTTTCTGTTTTCTAATTTGCAATCTTTTCTTGAATAGCCTAAAATTTATGTGCTGTCAGTTTTAAAATTTTCTGTATATAAAAATCAGCCTAAGATATGATATTCTTAGCTCTTTATAGAAAATGTATTTGAGTAAGAGAAAATGTATTTCTTCCAATATAAATTATTTAACTGTTTGCTATTTTACTGAAATTGGTTGTGTCTCTTAAGTTTTAACTATTCTTTCTGCAAATTTACCTTTATGTAACCGGCACAATGAAAAGTAAGAGCTCGCAGGTCTATTTTCAATAGAAATAAAGCTGATTGGCATATAAAAACAAAAAACATAGTGTATTTATTTATTATATATTCATTATGCACCTTTAGCGGTGCTTAACGTTCGCAATTCTCAACAAGTTAAAGCTTTAAATGGGGAACAAGATCCTTGCAATTCTAGAGTCGATAGCAAAGTCTGCTGATAATAAAACTGGGAGGTTCTTGATATAGTGTAGATACTAATTTTTTAGTGGTAATTTCTTGTTATTTGTTAACTATTATAGCTTTATAAAATATATAATATAAAATTACCATAACGAAAGGCATGTTTTAAGTAGTATTTTTCTGCTTCTTTACAACTTTTGTATGTTTAATTTCATTATGCCCAACTCTTCATTTAAGCTACATTTGTATAAAAAGTTTTCAACAATATCATTTATACACAAAATGTTTTTTTAGATGATTGTACCAATAGCTATTAAAACTTTTATCAGAATAGGGGCTATTTAACTGTTAAACGGAAGGGATGCTGGGCCGAAACCCAGTCTAGTGTGCGGTAGCAGAAATATTGTAGTCAGCAGTCATCTTGGACAGTGTTAGAGTTTTATTTTATAATTTTATTAAATTTTTGATTAGAAAACCAGTGGGTTTGACTATATTCTTTGAGTTCAATAGGAAGTTGCTCTATAAGTCGGCCCAAGTCGAATTCAAAGAGTCAAACTTAAATGTTATGAGACTCGAACCGTTAGCCATGTTTTTCAAAATTTTGCAATGCATACTTTTCAGGGCGTATCTAAAAGTAGAGGGTATATAAGGCTTGGGAAAGCCAATTCAGAGTCGGAAAAACTTGTGATATTAAAATTGGACTCTGTAGGAATATCTAGAAAGATTTTCTAAATAGATTTGTTGAAGCAAATAACAAAATCAAGAGTTGACCCTTAGACAAAAGAATATACGACAAACACACACACAGAGGCATGCATATAAAATATTGTTATTTAGTTAGTGTGCACGTGTGAGACATTGAGTGATTAGAGTATTTAGTACAGATGAGTGCGAGTGATTGGGTAATACCGAGAGATAAAGGTGAGTGTCACAGAGAGAAAGAGACAGACAGAGAGAGATTTTTTTTTTTTTTTTTTTTTATTTTTTTTATTTTTTATGGTTTAAGTTACTTTTATTTTTGCTAATTTTCTGTTACTTTTCACTTTTAGCAACTTTTATCAGCGTGAGTGCAGAGAGAGAGAGAGAGAGAGACTTACAGTTGCTTGTGGCACACCACGCACACCCAGTCCAGTGCATGATGGACTCGACAGGCTTTGCACACGCGCAGTTTGCAGACGCGGCAGGGGGCGCCGCGGTTGGTGATGCGGCCCAGTTCGGTGGTGCAGCGGGCGCAGTGGCGATTCGAGTCGTTGTGTACATTATTGTGATTCTTGTGTTCAAGCTGTTGTTGTTGTTGTTGCATTGTTTGCTGTTGTTGTTGGGGGTGGTGGTGGTCTAATTGTTGTTGTTGTTCTTGTGTGGCGTCGAGTGGTTTTTGCTGTGGCTGCGCTCCTGCTCCACCAACGACCTTGCACCTCAGCGCATACAATTCGGCGCGTAAAAGCCTGTTGTTGTTGATAATGATGGTGTGGTTGTTGTTGTTGTTGTTGTTGTTTATGGTGGGTTTAGGTTTGGTGGCAATGTTTCGTTGTTGTTGTGATGGTGGATGGTTTGAGGGCCAGTTGGACGGGACATAACAAAATTACGCATAGACGTTATTTTAGTTAAATTGTTTGTTACAAGTTAGTTGAGAATTAAAAACACATTACAAAAAGGGGGTAAATAACATTTTGCGATGTCACAAGTGGTTGTTGTGGTTGCGGTGGTAAGAGCGAGCGAGAGAGCAATAGCAAAAGTTGGAAGCACGTATAGAGTGTGTGTGTATGTGTGTGTGTGCGTGTGGTTGTTGTGTGTGAGCATGAAAACAACAGCATAAAAGTGGTTATTGATGAAAAGAGATAAAGAAAAAAGAACACACAAATAGTTGTTATTAGTCGATTACAATTTAATATTCGTTTGTTTTTAATAATTTTGTTAAGGATTTTTTAAAATGGTTTTCAAATGCAAAAATTATGAATACGAGTATTAAGTATTTAGGCACAGTTTACATATTTTGGTTGGAATAAATTAAGCAAATGGTTTATTGTTGTGCTGTGCTGATTAGTCAGGCAATTAAATGTGTATTATAATTGTGCCGAAATCCATGTGACAGGCCACTTGCTTAAGCGTAATGTAAATGTCAATTTAATGTCCCTTAAATTAATTTAAGTGCAAGCTTTATCTTAGAGTAAAGTGTTTCGGATGGCAATAAGAACCTAGGATCTTTATGTTCAGAGAAACTTATTGTGGATAATGCTATGAGTTTTCTTTTTTCAATTTCATTTACATTTACTTTCTAACTAGTTTTCTCATTAGGCATAAAACATACTTTACTTAACATTTTTTCGTTTATGTTTGAAAATATAAAAAAAAAATACGAGTACAAGTTAAGAAAATTAAAAAAAATTTTGATGTATTTGCAAGGCGAGTTTTAATTGAAACATTTCGTTTTAAGATAAGGAAAATTTTAAACTTGAGTTGACAAAAAATCTCGTTATCTTTGAATACAAGCAATCTTAAAGCTCACACCAATTATATAACAATTCCAGCATATTTAACTAAAAGCTCAACCTTCTAGCAGCTGGTTATTGCTTATTGTTTATTAACACCGACATTTTTTAGCACACAGCACATGTAAATTACTTGGAAGGTGCATTAAAGCTTTAAGCTAGATAAATTGTATTTCCATAACAATATCCATTGCACTTAAAGCTCTCAGCTTGAGCTGCTAGCAATTACAGGACACTATTTCTCTTAGCTGTTTAATATAACGGATTAGTGCCTGCTGCAGCTAGTCTCAATTTCAGAGCCAACTAGGCTATAGCCTGGGTAATGTGAGCGACTCTCTCAACATGCAAAACCAAACCAAAATTTGAATTAACTTTATGGCAAAGTCATAAAACACGCGCGCACACTCACACAAACACACACACACACAGAACCACAGCACATGTGGTATATTGTTAAGGCATGTATCAGTGAAACAGTCACGCAGCGGACATAAAAAGCCAAACAGGATTTTCTGCTGTTGTGCGAATTATGCAGCAGCACACCGCAGCAACATATAGCAGCTACACAACAACAATTTTTAATTATATTTTTTTATCTGCATTCGAGCGTTGGCGCCGGGCGCGAGTATTTTATTAGTACCACAAAATCAACAAACGTCAAGCAGCCAGCACCGCATACAGTTAGCACAGACACACACACACTCACACCACCACAACAGCACACCATCAAGTCCCAGTCGAGCGAGTGGCTTTGCTGAGTTAAACCATGTTGCATGCTTCTAGGGGAAAGCATAGTGCGCACACCTCAAACCACAGGCAGGCATACCACACACCCACATACTCATTCCAGCCCCATGCGTGGCGCCTACATTCTGGGACTCTTTTGACGTGTTTTATTGGGCATGCCCAAAGGGGGCAACCATGGACGTCATGTTGTATGCTACAGCTGCTGCCCATGTTGAACTGTACGCAAGCTTGTCACTTGCAATAGTTGAGTATTGTTGTAATTGCCGGCGCGCTATGAATTAATAATCCAAATAAGCCATTAAGCCAGAGCCTTTCAAGCCCCAACAATGGTTGGCCAAAAAGTGCTAAGCTAAATAGCCATAAATTTTCACCCCAGCCAGCTTGTCAGCCGCCTGGTCACGCCTCTATGTTTCATTTTTATTTTTAATAATTAGTAATGTGTGTGCTCGTGGGCGGTTGCCAGCTCTCGAGACGAGCCTAAATAAATAGCTGAACGCATGTTTTTGATTGTACGCCTTGGGTCATGCAAATAACCCAACTAATTAAGCCGATGCTAATCAGCTGCGGCGAGTGCCAGCCCTTAGCTGTGCGACTTTTGGCCCAATCGAACACCTGTGCCCCAACTACAGGCACACATAGCAACAACAGCAATAACAGCAACAAGCAGCGAATTGTTGCACGAGACGTGCTTTGATGTTGCCAGCAGGCGGCTTAGCTCAAGCTTAGTGCGATTCGGGCTGAAGCAAAATATGTAAACATGAATATTATTTTTGGGGCATTGTTGCCCGATTTGAGTACATTTTTGATTCGTTTTATTCATTAAATCAATTCAAATACCATTCACATGCTACGCAGTAAAAGGGTTTAGCATTACTAAAAAATCCCTTATTCTTCTTGAGGGTCTCAGTGTAATCTGCTTTGTGATACCCTTTAGCTAATCTTCTATTTGCGCTGAACATGTAGAGTTTTAATTAGCCTTAACTAGGGACTGTACGTTAATATAACTTATAAAAATATCGTCTGTTATATAAGTATCGTGGTAATCTTTTAACAACTTATTGACAGATTTAAGGGACAAACGAAACACAATTAAGCAATCCGAAAAAAATTAATTAGTGAATTTTCATTGAATCGAATATAGTAGATGTTCCGATATAGAAGTGACCCTATAGGGTGTTAGCTATTCGAATACTCTCCACTCTCAACATTGCAGCTTGCTTCCCAGATGCTGTATGAGTGTATACTAAGCACTGCTTGCAATTTTAATACATAAAAAATATACGTTTTTACTTGAAAATTCCCCTGACACCAGAAAAATCATCAACATTGTCTTCAAAAGCGGAAGCGAGAAAATTGTTGAATAAAAAATACCATAACTCAAATAATATTCAGCTGCAGTTGCCAGCTGCTGTCCATGAGATTTATGATTTTAATGATGCCAAGCGGACTCGCTTAGAACAGGGTGTGAGCGGGCGGAGCTGTTGAAATCTGCCCCACGCAGAGAATACACAGATAAATAATTACCATGCTAAATATGATTTGGCGAGGACCGTTTGTGGCTTGCTGTCGCTGTCCGGATGCTGTGGCAAGGACACAGATTCGGTAATTTTAGAACAGTTTTTAACAAAAATAAAATACAAGCTGATTTAAATACCTCGCATAGACCATAGTTGTGTGCGAGAGCAATAGAAGAAATATTATCATAGCTGAAAGGCGTGTAGGATAAAAGACATGGAGTTGGCCAAGTTAGTATGTAGGTAGCTGTAAGCACTACCTCACTACCCCGCCATCCATATAAGAAAAAGACTAACTACAAACGATTTACACAGATTTTGTGTTGAATATTTTCTTCATCAATTAGCTCCGATTACAGGGTACTCACAGACCACCGTACAGCTAGTCAGATAAAGTTTAACTCAGACTATCTATAAATTTGCGGGTTCCAATCAATACTGCTTACAGGGCATGTTCCTGACGAACACTCTCGTTTAGATGAGAGTCATATCTGCTGGCCTCTGATTTTTGGTAGTCCATCGCCATTTTAACATCACCGCAAGCGCCATGACAGGGCATTGGTTTTCGGGTCTTGTATTTCCGCTTCAGTTTAAAACTTTTACAAAGGCACTCGCGAGAATGCGCCCCATTACCATGGTTAAGACAAACAACTGTGTCGCTTTTGGCCTTAAATTAAATTTAGCCAACGCTGGTGGTTTGTACACCGGATGCCAGCACGCCGGTGGCGCAGTATTTGCATACTTCAAATATATTATTAGTTTTAATTAATTTTAAATGTGCATGCGACAGGATACGCAGCTCTTTTGCACCCTCGTTTTTGTGCAGTTCTAAAAAGCTGATAAAAGCCAACACAAAAATACTTTTTCCGGCCATGGCATACACGAAAGAATGTGAATTTAAAATAAATTAAATATAAACTTTGTGTCAAAAGCAACAATAGCCAAGCTAAACACATATTTACTCCCGAGTGTTTATGTGTGTGTGTGTGTATTCTTGCCGGCCACAATCCAACTTCGATTCGACAATGATAAACGCTACGAGCGGCTTGACAAGGGTTTCGCTGCGGCTCTCTGACATTTGCATAATTATATCAGGCCACCGCTCGACTCACCATTTTGTGGGTCTATCTGCCTGTCTGCCACAAGGGAGCGGCCTTGTCTAGAGGGATCGCATATGCAAAACTTCACATTAATTTGTCCGGTTTGCGTAAATTAATGTCTTCGGCATATACTTTATGCTGTCCAGAAACTATTAGCTTAGCTTAGGGCTCATAACGCGTTGCCCTCTTTGTGAGCTTTAATGTTGCCCATGTGGCATGCGGTAATAAGCTTGTGTGAGCCGCGTCGAAACAAAAAGCCAAAGCAAGATATAATAATAAATCATTAATGCGCAGCGCAGTAAATTATTTACTTATTTTTGCGCAGCTTTGAGCTGAATATTGCTAATGGCAAAATTATAACCGATGGATATTATTATAACTATTAGAGACCACGTCCTGGTAATCGAAGCCAGAAACAGAGTCAGCGACGCCCATGTCTTAAACTCTATACAGATTGCTTAATTAATTCCATTTAGAGCTCTCAACGTTTTTCCAGGAAGTTTTCAACTGTGCTGCCGCACCTGAGGCGTATGCGTAATATGCATGAGCTGGATTACGCATACGCCGGGTGCGCCACGCGCTATATGCAGCCAAA